GATTGACTCTGTTGGTACCGTCCCATAATTTGATTCCATGCATTATCTGGTACAGGAGTGGGGGGAGACGGGATGTGGGTCGATGATGGAGCATTCTCTGGTGCATTGGCATGGGGATATATATATTGTGGAGTAGCGGACTGGTGGGTCTGGTCGGCCAAAACCACAGCAAAGTACTGTTGGCATTGCTTCTGCTGAAATAACGTCTGAAGGTACGCCTCATGCCATGGGATAGCCCCTTGACGTAGAACTTGCCATTGATGTGTTTTGTTATAATGTTGTCGCATCCAATCGGTGCTGGTCGAACGAAAGTCGCAGTTGGGGAGGTGGCAGAGGAATCCCAGCACGGTCGGCAGGCCACGAACCTCGTTAATGCCATCTCGTGGGTGAACCACACCAGCGTTGGAGGCGGCGACCGGGTCTAACTCGCTGGAGGATGCAATTCTTCGTCGCTGGCCGCTTTGTAATGATGTTTCTCTAATAGATGACGGGAGAGATTCCGTCTGTGTGGTAATCGTAAACTCGAAAATATTGTAGTAGTAGAGGTTTACTTTTAAATATAAATATATAGGCTATAGTCAAAACGAGTTTATACTAAATACAAACGTCCTCGGCAGGCGTCACAATGAAATACCTCACTAGCTGACATTGAGTGAAGAAGGTCTGAAAATACGCCTGGTGCCATGGCATTCGTCCTTGATGGGAGACATACCATTGATGCTTCTGATTATAGTGCTGACGCATTATATCTATGCTGGTTGTGCGAAGGTTGCAGGTATCGAAGTGACAAAGGAAACCTGAACGGGTAGGCAGCCCCCGGATTTCTGGGATTCCCAGGCGGTTGCGGGACATCGCCGGGTGTTCGAGCCATTATCTGGAACTGTTCAACCTCTATGAACTGGCGCTCGTTTCTCCTCATGTTATGTTTTTCGAGTAGGTGCCTTGAAATATTCTGGCGAGTATAGCAGCCACGGTGTGTGGTGCATAATATCACACGCCATTCTGGCAAGAGTTGCAAAAAATGAGGCAATTGAGAGAGCAAAGGGTCTTTTGGAGAAACAGAATGATCTTCAGTTTTTCCATTCGCTTCAAAGCGACCATGGCTGATTTGACCGTCTCGTTTCCTCTTCAGGCAGGGTGTGGACGTCGTGGTGGGCAATATCTCAATTGGTGGGCGATGAGTCGGCCGGGAAGCCGAGATAGCTTCGTCCACTGAATGAACATGCGTGAATTCTCGCATTTCATCGAGACCCAAGAAGCGATGCCATTGAGTGGACACTTGCGAATAGATCCGAAGCAATGCGGGCTGTAGTTTGGTAGGAAACGCACCGTCAAGCCCATAAGTCTGGGCCCGTTGCAGAGGCCGGTGGCCGCTCTGCCAGGCAAATCCGACGTCTGGATCCGCCTGAGGACTCGTATCGTCAAGCCGATTGATGAAGGCTGCGGCACCTTGAACGTGTTTCTGCGCAACGGCAATAGAAATTTGCCTGTACCAGCGTGGATGAACTGCGTTGCGCCACACCTTTTCCGTTGCTCCTGTGAGTAGCCGCCGAAACCGGTCCGTCGACCACCGCTCGCCACGTAGGAGAGATCGAAACAGGAAGTCACACGCTGGGTCAGGCCAGGTGTGGAAGGAACCCTGTTCTCGACATAGAAGCTCCGCGAATGGTCGGATATAGACTAAATAGTGAAATAGAACCCTCGCTGCGCGGTACGGCAAAAATCGGGCCACGATAAATTCACGGCCAGTCGAGCGTTTGCTCTTACTATGGCGAGTAATAAACATGACCTTTCCTTGGTATATGTATATGGCGCGCTCCGTAGAAGGGCTATTGGTGTACTCCACCCCTACAAGTTCTTTAAGACGGGGTGTCTGCCCACTGGCTGTCATCAAGATCCCCGCGATATACTCCAGAAGTTGCTCGTGTTGGAGAATATACTGGTGTATGGAGTCTGGGTCCCACTGTCCCCCTTGCATCAGACCAAGATCGGGGTGAGAAGCAGCCTGCTCTGCCAACATGAGATATCGGTCTTGAAGCTGATTGGCAGGGTTGCGGATGAATGATCGGTCAGGTCGACCGTCGACAAGAGAGTCCTGAATGCTATTAAGGTCGATGTGAGGGCGGATGTTCAATAGGAGTGCACTACAAAGCTCTTCAGCTTGTCGAATGAAGTACTCTGGGAGCGCTCGAAAAGCTCCGATGGTGATAGTAACGTTCTCTAAAGATACGGTATCCCCATCAGGGCTCCAATGTACGAAGACAGAGGGAGGGTCAAGGACTGCCTGGCGCTTTCCAAACAACCGGAGATTCTGGAACTCCCCCAGAGGAGTCATGGATCCTGGGAGCATATACTGGCGTCGGACTGTGTCAAGTCGTGAGAGATGATCGCTCCGAGGCCGACAAGGCCAGCCGAGATACGAATATTCCCTGTATGGAAGCGCATATTCCAGAAAGAGAAGCCTCTGGATGTAAATCAATGCTGATAGATGGGTGGTAAAAAGCCGAGCGGCTAAAAAATGTCCGCCATGCGAACTGATGCCGAGAACACCACTAAAATATACCAGGACACTGGATTGGGGCTGACCGTTTGTGAACGTCTGAGTGATAAACAGCACACATAACTTGAATAGCATCTCAAGGAGTGGCCGGGGCAAAGTCAATGTACGGACCGATATGGAATCACCTGTTGAAGGGATTTCAGGTAGACTTGGGCGCCCTCGTCCACGATCGATTTCATGAGGTCTGATGTTATCTTCTGACTCCGTGTCATCCGTAGTATTTCCACTTTCAGCTGAACTGACATCCGCGGGCTCTTGGTGCTCATTCCAGCTGTGGTCGTTCCCGCTAGAAACCCTGAACATTTCTAGAGGTATCTCTACCCCAATGATTGTCCGACCGGGAGGCTCCTCTGATAGAAAGCTTTGAGTGGGATTCATCCAGATTTCTTCTAATTGTTGGTAGTGTTCGGGTTGGAGCACGAAGTGCAGGGCCTCCTGTGAGAGTTCTGGCCCAAGACGGAACACTCGGAGAACAAACGCCATGAATTGTTTCCACGTACGTCGGTATCGTTGTCGGCCCTGTGGAGTCTCCAGAAAGGAGAATGGTCGAGAAGATGGCTCGGTGGCCGCATGACTCTTGAGCCAGGCAAGAATGGGATGGCCGGTATGACGCATAGTTTCCTCACAGCGGTCAAGCACGTCATCAATTCCGGCAACCAGATGATAAATTCGCTCTTCATCTGCTGGCGGACTCAGTAATACTCTGTCTCGGAAGAAGCCTAGCTGCAAGCCATGTTTGATGCTAGAAACCGCTGGGAGAAGGCTTAGTCGCTTGAGAATGTCACGGGGAACATCTTGATATGTCACGATCCACTGCGTCCTCGCCAGCCATGGGCGGGTTCCTTCGTAAGTATCTTGCCCACTATACTGAGAACTATTCCGTGGTTTCTGGACGGTATGAAAGTTTTCTTCTCGTTTGCGTAGGTTATGCAATAATTCCATATTGGCGATACACAACTGAGGCTCGTTTGCAGTATCTTCAGTCGTGCCCTTTAAGGATGCGCTCAGAATGGTCCAGAATGATTGGGTCGTAGTTGACTGGGTCCAGGACTGAACGGAAACCGGCTTGTACAGCATGTCCAGATCGACACCAGCCGTTGGGTTATCCCGGATATGTGTTCTCTTTAGGTGCCGGCATATAAGATGCATGCTTGTACTGATATAGGAACATTGTAAACACTGGAACCCGGCGCGTATCTGAAGAGCAGGATGAGATTGGGACCCGCTTGGGCGTGGTTTGGCTGAACTCCCGTTTCGAAATTGGTGCCTGCGAAGGTATTGGTCCAGACCAGCCCGCTGGCTTTTCGGAATCTGATGTTTCTTTCGGAAATGACCGCTTGCCTGCACACCTTCAGTTGGAATCGCGTACCGACACAGGGTGCATATTGCAACATGTTCCCCCCAGTCCAGGTATAAGGGGAGCGAAGGCCATTCCCGCGCGGAAACTGGATAGGTAAGGGGCGGTGCATGCGTCATTGAGAGGCGACAGGGTCAAAATAAACTGGGAATATAATAATGGAGCGAAAACAACAACAGATGATCAGAGGAAGACAAAAAGTTTTCGCACTACCCTCTATGTACTTGTTGGTAGCGCGTCGCGTCGCGCGTACCAAACGGGGAAAGATGATATATTGCTTTTTCTGATACTTCTCATCGTAATTTCCATGGATGGCTGTGGGTTGGCACCATTGCTAATAATATATATATGTGAAGCATTATAGGTGCGGGCTGGGGATGTTCCCAGAAATACGGGAGGCATGTTGAATTGATGACGATGAAACTGTATGAGAGAGAGAGAGCGAGAGCACATTTTAGCGGAAAGCAGAGTGGAGTAGAATATGGGCTGTAATGGCGGGACAGGTCGCTGCAGCTCACCGAAGTCTTTACTATGGGGTGCACGGACAAAAAGTGTGAACTGGGTGACACTTCCGAAGAGACTAGTACAGTAGGGCTTATAAAGACCGGATCCAGGACACTCGGGTGGGATACAAAACACCACGACTTCCCACGAAATTGGCCTCCTCAGCGCAAATTCTATGATGTCTGTGTAATCTTTTTCTTGGAGTTCTATACGACTGTCATAAGCACAACGGGCCCAGCCGCTGCGGAAGAGGCCATGTCAGAGTACGCAATGAGTAGGGCCGTGATGCTCACTGGGTTCCAATTCATGTATGGCATTGGACAAGCATTGGGAGGGCTTATCATGCCTCCATTTTCTGAGGCACTTGGGCGACAGAAGTCCTACCTCACATCCGCCGGCGCGTACAGTATTTCTTCTCTGTTGGTAGGCCTCGTTCCCTCGTCATCTGGAGTCTTCGTCGGCCGCTTTTTCTCCGGTTTTGCGTCTTCTGTACCAGCGATAGTTCTAGCTGGAAGCATCGAAGACCTATATACTCAGCGGCCAAGGCTCTGGCTTCTGTGGTTTTGGAATTGCTCCACCATGCTCGGCATCGCCGTGGGCCCCATCTATGGGTCCTATATAGTAAATGCAATCGGTTGGTAAGTAAACCCAGGAAACAGTTGTGCGTGCATGAATCCGTGTACTGACCGCTTGGTCTGCAGGCGCTGGGTCTACCATGTCTCCGCCATCACCTGTGCGGCGATATCCATCCTTCTTATACCCGTACGCGAGAGCCGACCGACAACCCTGCTTGAACGCCGCTTTGACAATCTACAGTCAAATGTTGGAGAGATAGATATGGATATATCAAATCCTGACCGGACTGACACTTCCCGGGAGCTTGTGAAGGTGATTCTGATGCGGCCAGCCAAGATCGGTGTCTCGGAACCCATCATTATTTTGGTTTCAGTTCTCAGCGCGTCGGCTTGGGGCATGATGTATCTCTTTACCGAGTCCTTCACCGTCGTGTACAGCGAGTTTGGCTGGAGCTCAAGGGCGACGTCACTGCCTTTCATTGCCCTGGTTCCAGGAATTATTATGAGTGGATTTGTTCGCTTTTGGGACTACCACAAGCTGAAGCTCCGGCAGAAAGCCGGTCAGCGACCAGAGCCGGAAGATAAAATCGGTGGGTTTGCCATCGCTGCGCCTGCACTCGCCATTGGGCTCTGGATCTTTGGCTGGACAGTTCCACCGCTCGTCCATGTCCACTGGATCGTATCCATGTTCGGCCTCGTGATGATTGGCTTTGCAGCGACGGAGTTCTCGTACACGCTCAGCGGGTATCTTTCTGACGCATACACTATCTACGCCTCATCGGGATTAGCTGTCCAAGGCTTCTTACGCGCGCTGACCTCCGGGTGCCTCCCTCTGTTCGCCTATCCGATGTATTCGGGGCTCGGATCAAACGTCGCGACGAGTATTATTGCCGCTGTGGCAACAGTATTCTGCATAACACCGTACATATTCTTGAAATATGGTAAACACCTAAGGGAGAGCAGTCCTTTCGCGCAGTATAGTGCAAAGATGAACGACGAACAAGGTGCTGATTGAGGGGCGTCAATGTATACCATTTACCATCCATAATATCCTGTTTTATAATTCGATGAGATCAGCACTATAATGGAAACATCAATTCTGATACCGAGTTGGAGGTTCCAATTTCAGACCAAGAGGCAAAAAGTGCCGGCGTGCTACCTGCGGAACAACTCCCCCGCTCTCCCGTGTGCTGCGCTGGACCATCTGACTGATTGTCTCTCGATACACCGCAAAGCTTCTTGGCCCTTCTGTCAGTTCGTAAGTGAGAGTGAAATCCTGAGAAGGATTCACATAATAGGAAGCTGATGTTAAGAAGGACCTAAGGAGCTAAGTTAAATATCAATACCACCGATCAATTATTTCTTACAGTGAAGCACCCTAAATCTATTTGGAGAATATGTGCTAAGTTGTTGTCTCAATCTGGGACCTAACATCTACTACGCGACAATCTCGGTGGGTGTCGATGGTGGTGAGCAGGAAGGCTGATGAGGAGGACGAATATATATGTATCTGGTCCACCACTTCTTTTGATGGAAGGAAGACAGGAAGTTGCATATCTTCTCTAGACCAAAAGCAGACTAGTACTTTGCTATATTAGGATTAGCGTAGTACTAGCGGCACACTTCCAGTAGGCACATCGAAGTTCTGTTGCACGGAGGCCCGGGGCGGAAACGGGAATTTACTCTATACTCCATTCCTATTAACCCTCCCGGTGAGCTACGACTTTCAAGGTTTAATATTTTCGAGAGCAAGTAATCATGTACTCCGAATTGCAAAACCAGAGGAATCGGAATTGAATTGAGGTCGTGGTGAGGTTTTCAAAAAGGGGAGTTTTCTGATGGGGGGTGACTGCGAGGCGGGTCGACTATTACGTTGCGACCAATGGAAATATATACTGTACTTTTTACATTCGCAGACCACAACTGCCCATAAATTAAGAAAAAAAAATAACCAGTTAGTTTAAATAGCTTTAAAATAGAACAGGAACTTGCTACTTAATGAAGGTAACGATTTAAAATAACCTAGATATTCCCTCGTAGAATTTAACGTGTAGGATAGCGAGGGGTTATGTATTATATTCGATGAATCAGCATTTTTATGCGACCGATTTAGGAAAATTTATGAAAAATGAGGGTCTATGAGGATCAATGAGGGTCACCCGCGCTAGGGCAGGCGAGGAGAGCAGGAATTAGGCTAACAAAGTAAAAAGTGGTTAATTGACTCTCTGATCTGCTTGATTATGCCCTAGCATCGTGTGTTTAGAAATTCCGCGCAGTCTTTAGTCGTAGATATTAAGACTGGTAGGCAGTCTTGCAGCCCTACAATAAGAATAGAACATTACCACGTCGCCTGATCTAACCTCTAACATCATAGCTCATGTCACCAAACGCGAAATACATCCAGAGTCCCTCTGCAACGCACAAATCAACTTGCTTATAGGCCCCGTTAAGAATGCGGATCGGGACGTCTGGACAGGAAGCCGCGCCGTCCATGTAGTCCACCCTCGAACCTGTGCGTGGAGAAATGCGACCTCTGGATCCGTTTGCGGCCCAGCAGGTAGAATACGTGATACCGCCACAGGACCTAGGGAGACCAAGTAATCGATCCAGCCACCTGTTAGAATAAAGAGATGTCAATACTGGAAGGGAAGATATAGCGGAGGTTAGATAAGGAGAAGCCACAGGGAGAGAGAAACGTTCTCAGCAGCAGTTTCTCGATTCCAGAATCGACATCATCTCCACTAATGCTTGCAAAGATACCAAACCGCCTAGCGTGTTCTGTTTCGAAGGAACTCCAGAAGTGTAGCCATCGCTGTCCAGATCTCTACCATATCTCGTAACTGCGCCAGCGTGAGACCACCACGGTTCACTTGCGCAAAGCTGCTGGGTGGATCAAAAAGCACGCTGACGAAATCGCTAGCGTCCGGACTCCCCAGAGGAGACCGAGGCGCTATGTTACCCTGCAACCACGCGATCTGCCCGGTGAAGTCACACTCCCGCTCTTTCCACACAGCAAAGAGGTCACAGAAGGTCCACACGCGCCAGATCGCATCGTCTAGCTCTTTTGAGCGGGATGACCGCGGGTCCAGAAGCGAGTTGTAGGAACCCTTGCGGAGGATATTTTGGCAGTGATATAAGAGGAGGCTCTTAAACTGGACGAGAGTATGGAGGTTCAGGCGATAATGGCGCAGGTAGAGACTGACATGGAGGTTTTGACCTCCCGGCTGCGTCAGGCTTACGTACGTCCGGTTTGTGACTTCGCAGTGCTCCCAGGCTGCAGGGGACATCTTCCAGATGCAACCTTGGATTAAGGATATCTCATAGGTTATCAATGCCCAGGGTACCAACAGCCCAGCACAGTCATCTTGGTCACAGCTTAAGCGCCGAAATCAAGCAGAATGATGAGACTTGCTCGAAAGAGCGGAGCTGGGTAATTATTCATGCTTAGAAAGGAACGTTGGTGGAAGTGATCACAAAGAAGCGTTGATTGACTCAATGTTATTTACCCCCTTGCGGGTTCTTAGCTATAGGATCAATCCTCGACCATAGCATCAGTCTGGCTCATTACTTGCGATTCATACAACGGACCATCGCGAAGCCAGTCTCCACTGCCTAGAGATGTAGTCCAGTAGAATCCCCTGTTCTTGAACCGTGGCTTGTGCACCCTGAAACTGAACTTGCATGATATTTGGACTCTCCTGTTTCGTACGCTGGTGGTCGTATCTTTGTGCAAGCTGATGTCATGTGGCTTTCGTCTTTCTAGCTAGAATCTTCTTATCCAATTGGTTAGAAGAAAGTTTATATGACCCATATTAAGCTTCTAAAAACCGCGATTGAATTACCGTAGGGGAAGGAGGGTGAGCGCATCTATTCGTACACTGTTCTCTCGTCCTTGCAGGCCTAGGTGTATTTGAGGTCAACTGAATGAGTTGATGCCATTTGGTTTGGGAGAAATCAAAATTGGTATGCTCGAGAGAAAGTTGAGGTGTGCGAACAAGGCTTTGGCAATGGATCGCGACATTTCAGTATATTGCAACCCTCTTCCCTTCAGATTCGAGACTTTCGCAGCAAGCATTAAATCTATCTGTTTCTTTCAATTGGCCAGTAAAGGCGCGTTAATCATACAGAATTCCGACAGAATTTAGACAGACATAAAGTCTGCCGCTAGGATGAACACCACTTGTATACTTGGCGTTGGAAATCTGTCCCTTTGTCTTTTCGACGCCGTACCAAGCGAAAAGATGGCCTGTGGTGGGAAACCATGCTGGTGACACTTAATTACAAATTAAGGTTCTCTAATTTACAGATTTTAGCTGTGGGATTTCCGTCACTTTGAAAGCCTGAATAATAATAAGGACAGATAGTTCAAACAAGAGCCAACCCCTAACTTGGGCGTTTGGACCTCTCTCGTCGCCAAAGGGCTCTTCGTTTTCAATACGTACTATGTTGGAAATGGCACGATGTTGAGAAAAGCTTCAACGTACGATTTTCTCGTCCCGTGTCTTTTAGCGGCTCTGGAGTCGGATAGATAATAGATTCTATGGTCGGAAACAGCAGTAAACCCTAACCGGGCTTTACGAAATATGTATTTCAGGTAGGAGGAAGTCCCTGACAACCCAGCTAAGACTACGGAATCCTACGTATAGGAAACCGCACGCGACGCGTTCGCGTCGTGATGCAGATGCGCATCGCTGGGGGCCACAGAAGCTGGACGAAACGGGTATATCGTGGGAGGCCCGACATCCACAGTCAATTATTTGTATCGCCATTCCACTCTTTGTCATATTAGGGAGAAAAAATTATTCTGGATGTTCCCTCTCATTTAGTTAAAGGATTCGTACCTGACCATCTTACATGTTGTTTATAAAAGGCAGAAAAACGGAAGTCATGCCTGTTAGACTCTTTCACGATTGTCGAAAATCTGGGGTTCTACCATCAGTCACGATTGATAGCTACAATTCCGATGATCTAGAAGGAAGACCGTGATGTTCCATTAACTTGTGTAGATCACTCCTAGGTGTTGGAACCCGAAAAGCATTCAGGATTCCCTGTCATGTTCTCGGCTTGCTTACTGTGAAGGGGGCGCCCCTCACACTCCAAGTGCCAATCTGAGTGCCAATCGGAATGCGCCCGCTATGTATTTTTTGTCCGTGATTGATCTCACGAGCGTGCTCCCTTAGGCTGAAGGTGTATCGATGCTATTTTGTCTAGTGTAACAGACACCACCGCTAGAAAGTGCCTCACATGATACGATTGCGTATTTGGAAAAGTTAACATGATGGGTGGAGATACTGTGGGCTTCCTAGCAATAATTTGAGTGCCAATCTCCTTGTCGTTTGCATGTGTCTAGATTGTTATATACAAAAGCGGACTAACAGCTGAACTGCTGTATAACCGCAAAGACATTGAATAGAAACGGATTTCATAAACTTAGCAAAAACAATTCAGCATGGCTTCTAAAACGGCTCGATTCGTGCGTCAAGTCCTAGTGCGGAAGGGTCACATTTTTGGTCATCACACTATCCAAGTGACAGCATGATACGCGTGATCTCGTTCGGTTTGTGAATCGATGATGCAATGCTGGGCTTATACGCACGTAGGTATTGATACAAGCCATATTTTGGGAGTAATCACCAGTCCGTGTCTCGACAATAGAGAAGTGGTGAACAAGAGAACAACACTCAACCCCAATTGCACTGGTGACGGATATGCTGATGCTTGACTACCCGCTCATAATAATCCTCTATGCCAAGTTTTAAATACGGGCAAGCACATCATCATCCAGACCTAAGTTGAACTAATGATCGGATACTTCCTTCACTCACGACAAGCGGACCTCACGGAAGGATCATCCAGATTCAAACCCGGCGTTGGCGTTTTCTGAGGTTGTATTTAATACCATTTTGCGGTGTTCTCTTTTTCAAGCATCGATCGGTAGACTGGCTGGGGCAACTGGAGGCGGGGAGTTGGTCTCCCGCGAAGCTTGTGGTGTATGCGTCGTCCAGCGGCGTATCGTCGGGAATCACAATTGGATGATTACTGCTATCTCCAGGGACAGGCACATGTAGTAAATCAAATACCCACGACGGTGCGCGCAACCGCCGGGCGTATTCGTACGGAGTGTGTCCCCCGTTGTTTCGAGCGGTACGATCGCAGCCATTGTCGATGAGCCACTTTGTGATGTTCTCGAGAGCCTCTTCGCGCTCTCCGGCTTCCACACTGCATTTTACAGCGATATGGAGTAAGTTGCGCCCTTCTCTGTCCTTGACGTGAATCGGACTTGCTAAGAGCTGCACCATCTTAAGATCCGCATTATCGATAGCAACTTGGATTGGGAGGCGTCCGAAAAAATCTGTGCACTTCTTCATTTCTTCGAAATCCCCATTTCCTCGTAAGGTCTCGACCATCGTATAGCACTGATACTCGACTGCGGCCTGCAGTGTTGTCGACTGAAACTTGTCAAAGGTGAGGAGTAAATCGACAATAGAGATTTTGCCACTACAACATGCTATCTGAAGAGCTGTGTGTGCCTCCTCACTGACTGACATGTCAATGTCCGCACCTTGAGCAAGCCAATACTCAATCATGCCCAGTCGATTATCTTTGACAGCAAGAATTAGACCGAGTGTGCGGACATAATGCCTGTCCATTAGAAAGCAATGATAAGCTAAGTCCGTGTCGTTTCGAGTCGTCGCCCTCTCCAACAGCTGCCTCATAAACCTTCCATCATCTATCTCGGTTCGGTAGAATTGAAGCAACTGTTTCAGCTTCACCATTGCAGAGTCAGTCTCGGCTTGTCGGCATAGCTTCTCCAGCACTGACTGTTGTTGTTCATCGTCCAGTTCGATAAAACAGAGCATTTGTAAACAGCGCTCCCAGGCAGGTGATGACAGGGGCCGCAGATCAAGCTGTTCTGCGAATGCCAGGGAGCAGACTTCTGACATCTTTAGGTAACCAACAATAATTCGCCATATCTCGACAGGCAAAACGAATGTCTTTGAGATCATTTTGATTTACCCAGATGAGGTATCGTTTGATTTCTAGGAGGGATTGTTTGCTTGTCTGATGAGGCCCGCAGTGAATTAGCCACGATAGACTTAGGGGCTGCCTGATAACGTAATTCACAACTAACCCGTTCACGCGGTTAAACCCGAAACACCGATTAATTGCGTTTTTCTTTTCAATTTGTAATGAATTGTTAGTAGCATTTCGCGATTCTATGTATTGGTAAGGGACTGTCATGACGATACACTCGGGGGCAGGAATCTAGGTGGACTTTCCCGGGGAGCAGGGAGGTGGGAAGGAGTTAGGATTGACGCTTGTCGGCCGCACTAGCAGCTTTATCTCTCTTAGCCAAGTTCGAATCAACAACAGTAGTACACTCCTGTACATGTCACTCACCAGTAATGGGATGCCGTATGTCGATAACCTAGGTAGATAAGAGACCAGGGGCAACCAAGTACGAAAACGTGTAGAGAGCTAACGACTTCTCTCGAGGTAGTGATTACAACGCCCTGAACGTGTATAGACTGGTTTTGAGAGTTGAAGATGGCGGCAAATATGGCCGAGTAGAAGTAGTAAAAGATGATGTTTCTTATCGGGTATATATCAAATAATGCCTACGCACAATGCATCGCACGTGGCGATTCGGGGAAAGTGAGGTGTCATAGCTGACTGGAATCTCCAACAGCCTCCGGGAGATAGGTAGGTGTGTAAAAAATTGACGGCTGCTTCTGTAGGTATTAAGGATCATTAGGTAGTCCGGGTCTCGATACTATCTCAAGTATTCGGCACGAGAATCCCAAGCGCTTTTACTAACGCAGAGCCCAGACGACTCAACACAAAGCTGCCGGTGTAAACGCCTAAGGATATTTTTTGGATGTGCCAAAGCAATGTAACAATAAGTTATATCTATAGGTCAGCTTAGTGAAGGCTAGGAAGGATTGTCGAACTTATTGAGAAATCCTGTGGGGATAGTGGCACTATATACTTATAGTACTTTTGCCGCTTACCCGAGAATAGCCACTACCTGCAACTTTTCGATAGAGTAGGTATTGTACAGTTTATATAGACACCATATATACCTTGAACGAACGGTTTCAATTCTCAACATCTGTGTTATGTGAGGGCGAGGGTTGCGTACGAGGCTGTGTAATACCCAGCCTAGTGGACGTGTCCCATTTCGACATCAAATTAATTGCTCCCCCTGTGGCATCTTGTTCCGACAAGCATTGTTTCGTGCATTCCCGCTGATCGTAGGTCAGAGCGATAAGTACCGCCACAATTTATGGGTCTGTGGTTTGATCGTGAGGCTCGAGAGAACGCAAGGAAAAAGTGGTCCGTTCTGTCGCCATGGATGGTTCTCTTAGTTCACGCACAAAGGGGGCCTCTTCTGTGGCTCTGGGCACATGGTTCTATGTGTACATATTCCAAATGATTTGATCATATAAGCGCCACTCAGAAAACCAAGTAAGCCATGGCTATTGTAGCTGAACAATACCAAAGCAAGTGCGGAAGGTTGGGGCATAAGTTGGACCAGAGATTCGGACCAAAGATTTCGGCTCAGAAGGAGCGCGCCAGTAACGGTCTAACCAGATGTCGTACAGAACACGCCCGCTAACGATAAATTCCAAAGGCCACAGCCTAACAACAAAAAGGGTCTTATCAAAGAGTACGTGGAGAAAAGGTTTGAATAGGAACGAATAATTATCACTTCAAAAGGAATTTCCCAGAGGACTGGCCACCACAGACTAAGGTCTGTGGAAGAGAGATATAGTAGCTTATGTTTTTTGGAAAGAAGATTATCCATCTAATGGAAGAGATTCAACTACCCTTCAGCACCTAGAACCCGCAGAGCCTCGAGATCGGAGTTCGCAGGGATTCCTAAAGACTCATTACATGATATCCTAACGTCTTCTGAATGGAAGCTTAATTAAGCAAACGACAAACTACAAACAGTACCACTCAAATAATACTGAAATTGACTTATCATTGGAGATGTGAGTAGTCGACCGCGGAAGACTGGGGCCTAGGCATGTGCAAGTGCTATAGTCCAATTGCCGCCTATGAGCCGGGTCAGTGATGTAACATAAAGCTCAAATTCAAGGCAGCTGTTCTCAAGGGCTTCTATAATCACCTGTATTCCGCCTTTTATCGGCGAGCTGGTAAAGTGATTCTGGGGCAGTGATCTGGAAGATGTAAGGTAATCGAAATGGGGGAATAAATGGCCGGCGAAACCCAAGTGTTCTTCTCCTAGGAGCCAATATCAGTGTATTTGTGCCAGTCGCAACTACGGCTGCCATCTCACCTTGTAATAGGTACCAGACGGTAGCACTTGAAGTCAGGACTACGATTTACTAATCCTCGACATCGTAGGAGCTCCATGGCGAGACATCTCAGGAGAGCCGTTATGCCAATTTATTCCTGTGATACAGGTCGGCTGGAAGTCCACGAATAACTCAACTTCTCATTAAGCTGGCTATAAAGACTAGGTTTGCAAAAAGTCTATAGCGAGAGGGTTAAGACAGGCGGTATTTTCAAAGATGCCGTCACTTTACATCAGAGCAGCAATCAAAAAGCTCCACAACAAATTGTTAACCAAATGGACGGGGACGCAAATGGCATAACCTGTGGGTGTATTATCCGTGGTAAGGAAAGGAATTGAAAGTTCACGCGTATGTATCGAGACCGTGCATCGTTCAAAGAGCGACTACCAGCTGAAATACTGATCTCCCTTCGCATCAAAATAACTACCTTCCACAATTTTCTGCTGGTCATCAAAGGTACCAAATTTATTGTACTGGCAGTTGTGGTTGCCAGTCTGGTTTGCAACAGTGAGAGGGTACTGTGCAGTTGATGGAATTTCCTGGTGCCTTGCGTTTGTATCTGCATCTGCAACCAAATGATGCAGCTTTTCAGAAATGGCTAGAAACAAGGGGTCGCCAGCATTGGTGATTTTCGTCATATCCCCGTTATTACAGGGAATTCCAATCAAAGAACAACCTAGTAGAGTGGCTGAGACTTTTTGCATGAACTATTTCCAAAGATAAGTAATGGCAAAAAAGCACATTGTGTTGGTGGCTTACACAGTCAACATCTGGAAGCGACTCCTCGTAGAAAAAAGTTGCATCGATCGGCGATAATCTCCCACGAGGTTTGTTAACTATACGCTTCCATTGGTCTGTAATCCGGTCAAATATCTGGTCTGAGTTATTCCTGAGAAAATCGACGGTCTCGATGTTCTCCTGCTTGGAGAGACCGATATAATCGTGTTTGGATTGAAGCCAATTAGCAAGACCAGTTCCATTGAATGGTGTGCCAAGACAAATAATACCACGGGTGCAAGCAAAAATTTTGCAAAGGGCAGGCTTTCTCTGCTCGCTCGAGTTCAACAAGACCTACCACCGAGGTAAGTAAAGGTCGCAAAACCAAAAGTATTGACATAGTTCTTTGCAGACAAGTCCACCCAATGCGTGGCAAAAGAATGCGATCGGTCGTTCATTCTGTCCATGTTAGTTAACTGCAGCATCTGTGAAGCTGGATGCCTTACTGTGTAGTCCTTCTCACGATACGATGAAAGAGAATCCAGGAAATTCACCGCGAGGTCACAAATAAACTTTTCCAAAACCCCGGTCTTTCGGTCAGTTGTATTTTGCGCATAAGAAAAAGCGAGAATACGAGCTGCAGGCATTTCGGATGGAAGAAGAGTCTTGGGCCACGGCTCAGCAGTGACGGGACCAGCACCTGGGTCAGGGACCAAGACGATACTGAACACAAACGTTAACTTGCACTTTGTACATCCAGGTGGTACTAACTCGATTTTACTCCCTTGTGGGCTCCAGAGTGCTTCGATTCCGGGAGTGAATGCCTGTTCCTGTGGATACGGGGGAGGACGAGAACCGTCACCCTCGGTGATGACTGGTTCTTGATTAATCGTGGAATCTGTTTCCTTGGGTTTTGTTTGAGCGCTCTTTCGACCAGAACGAGAGAGCCAAGATATGAATTTAAACATTTTGTCTGAGGGTCAACACGGTGTTGTATTTGAGAGACAGAAACACAGCTGGGAAAAGATGGAGAAAGTGCTCTTGATCTCCAAATCTTTGGGTGAGGATCGACTTTTTGAATCGTCACGGGAAAATGGTACATTCACCACGTATCCAGCTCCAGCGCCCATACAAAGCGGATAGATATCTATTTTCAGAAATCGTCACTCTGTTAGTTACCAGGTCTGGTCTGCTCTAAAGTTAGAAAGCTTTCGCCGGTGCCTGCCGTGATGCATGGTCATTTTGATTTCGGCCAGTTCCTTTCGTCCCCCGGGGTATTTGCTGACAGGGACGTGAACGACGTACCCCTACTAGGCACGGCGACGGCGCGAAATGATTGGATCACAAGTTTTTGAAGTTGGGGTGGGCGCGAGGATTATGTTTTCTGAGACCCAGTCTGCACGGCGGACTCCAGGGTGGACTCCGCCATAACTAATTCTACAGTGCCTTCACCGCTTCGTCTTCCCGCCTCGTTAAGTCTGAGTACAACGGCGCTAAATGATTGGCCGTCAGTCGAGTACTAAACAAGGTTGTTGCAGCGGGCCAAAGGTGTAGACAAGGCGGGGAGGGCAGGTTACAATTACAGCTAATTCAGATTGCCGCCTATTCGCTTTCTTCGCCGTTCTTCTACGTAATGGCTGTTTTGATTTGCTCCATTGCGTTTATATTTGGAGTTTATTTGCACCCTAAAAATCCCTGCGGTGTCTCACTCCATCCAGCAGTTGGCTTGATGAGCCCTCGTTTGAAAATGTTACGAGTGCCGTGCGTTAAATAAGTTGGGGACGCTGGTATTCCCCCTGCCAAAATAGACCCAAGACACCATACACAACCCCCTTTTCCCCACGAATTCCCCCGCCCAGGTTTTACCACACCCCGTACACAGCTCTTGAACGTTCATCACCGCAGCCACCTTCTCAACTGCATCCTGTGAATATCAGTTGGGTCTACGAATAAAAACGGCCTTGACGATTATTAGGCGCTTCAAATCTAGCGGTAGTAGGTTGATATAGAACGAGCGATCATTCAGGGCCTCCGTCTAGCAAGCCCCCAGGAATGATTGTGTAGTGGACATGGGGCAAATGACTTCTTCATCATCATCAAGGGCAGGTATCGCTATACAGCAACCCAGGAAATTCATAAAGCACGAAACAGACGGAGTTTCCCTTCCGGTGAATACATAATTGACAAAATATTTGCGTGAAGTGTACGGTCTGGGAAACACCTCACACCCTCAAGCAAGATGCCCGTGAACCGGTTTTAATCACCTGCTTGGTGACCAGTGTTTTTTGGACCGCTGGAAAAGGTCTTGCAGATCTTGTCGAGTGGTACAATGATTCTGCTAATGGGCCCTGAGGTGAACACTGCCAGAAGCCGGACTGGCATATGTTGATTATGCATACACGGTCACTAGATGGACGAGTCCGGCCAGTGAATCGCTTCAGGACGAGCCATGGACTAACCATCCGTTTGGGCACAATTATGACAAATACGTTTTTGACATATTATTCCAAACTATAGGCCACGCAACCCACAAATTAACCCTCCAGGAACCCGGCTAGTTAACTAACTCCGCATGCAGCTACAATTGTAGGCATTTAGTTAACAGTCATATAAGGCGTTCGCGACGCCACGCGCTAGTACAGTGAGCTCCATTGATCGGTTATCGCTCTATACGGGCTGAGAGAGGCGATGGAAATCCCAGCTTGGAGAGTTAAATTATCAAATCATGAAAGCGCATTGATAGTTCAACGAGCGGCTGAGGATCAGCTAAATATCCCCTCGACTGTCCGCTTGCGCCTTTTAGTGCGATTACGGATGTGTAAGATATTAATTAATTACTTCATCAACGTTCTAAGTTAAAAGGCTAGGTAGGCTATTGGTCATATGTGGCGACGAAAACGTACGGAGAGGCCGCAGCCAGTGACTTAGTTACTCCGGCAAGCGCCCAGATTGGTTATCTTACAGGTATATGAGCAGTCTTTGACATTGCATGCTGATATTCTTAGCACGTGATACTAGGCAACGGTGTTACTGCAGGGGATAACTTTCGCACAAGGAATAGCTGCCAGCTCAGTCAATAACCTTCATCATTGAGCCAGTCTCGTCGCTCTTGTATTGCTCAATCGATATGCTATCGTCTGTTCCTTAATAAGAAAGTTTTGCAGCAGCCCATACACCGACTGACACGGAGGCCTTCCCGGTTAGCAAAAGTTAATGATTGGAGGCTTATTTTCGAGCGCGTTTTATTTTTTGTGCAGGACAGGGTAACAGGGAACATGATACTTAGCGCTAAAAACTAAAGTATAACTGGCCCGTGGATGTGACGTATACCGCACGGCCCCCGCCCGTGTAAAATATTGTGATATTGACGCTGCCAATTAAATAAGTAGGTTTGTTCCTTGGCAGGTAATAGGTAGGCGCTTGATCGATCTGCGATTTCTTACAAGACAAGACGAAAAGTCGGCCCACTAACGATCACTTGGATGTCGGATTGGTTCTCGGTGCGCATGCTATAAATACTTATGCTCTACTCGACCCGTTGTGAGTGAATCAACAACTCCTGGAAAAAGCCGTCACTTCGCACCAACATTTGCCTATCTGCTCAAATACCGGGCACATAAAAGATATGCCGGAGCCAATGGATGTATCTTGTTATCAACAGTCGATTTGGAGGCTGTGGTGGTGGTGGAGCGGATACCAACAAGAGATGGAGAGATATCAAAAGATATGCAAAGAGAATAGAGAGCCTGTTGAATTTGTTGTAAGTCATTCCGTGGTCTAGAACATGGCGACCTCCGCCTCATGATTATTTTTCTCACCCAGGACCAAAACCCTTTCGTCATCGTGCTGGTGGACGTTAAAAGAATTCAATTCCAACATGATCTACTGCAAGGCCGGCATGGAGGATACGAAGCTGCTCGAAGGCTAGAAGAAGGGGTTAAAAATTACTTGGCAGGCACGCCTCTTGGCCAGCGGAGTGTTCCTGTTCTAGTACAAATTTTTGCAGATAGCGACAACCTTGCTGGAACGTTCCACTCGGCACCAGCGACCGAGTCAGACACATACATGCACATGTTTTGCAAGCAGCTTACTACAGGTATACTGTATTCTGGCATTAGCGGCGCCTGGCAAGAGAAGAGCAGTGCAAATTTTAGATCACTCAAGGGTTAGTGCTTGTTAGCTCGTTATTGATAAAATCATTTCTAACTTCTCCCCAAGACATGCTGGACCACTACTACAGGATCGTACAATGCGAGAAAATATTCATTGCCGGTTTTCATCAGAACGACCATAGTACCAACTTGCAATTTTATGGAGCCGACCAAGATGCTGGCAAGAAAATCGTCCTCATTGAGACAGCGCCAGCCGACTCGGCTCAACAACGGCTTCAGCTTCCTGCGACGCAATTTGATGCGGTTTTTTGTTACAAGACCTCGAGGCATGATGACTATCCAGTCTCAGCCATACTGTCGACGCCAAAGAATACACAGCCAAGCATCAGACCGACTGGTGATCCCCCCGCTGTTCCGCCTTCTAGGATCCAGAGACCTGTTTCTAAGCCATCAAGACAGAGTAATAGCTCAGCTAGAGCCTTTTTGAGAAAAGAGGTGACCTCAGCCGTGCAGATAAACCGTCAGAGCAAATTTGGAGATGACCTTCAGCTCTACAGGCCTCCTTCATCATACTACGGTATTAAAAAGAGGTTTCAAAAGACAATAATATTTCGAAACGACCAAGGCTGTCGTGTGGATCCTCCAAGAAGACCTATCGACCCAGAAGACCCCGCTGTACAATCCCTCGACGCAAAATGCTGGGACAAAAATGGCATCAGAAAAAGATTCTGCAATGACCACTACCTGAAGAAGGGATGCGTTGACCCCAAATGCAGGAAGAAGCGAGAACATTTTGAAAAATTGGATCCCCAGGAGTTGAACATTCTCAGGTCCAAGGCCCGAAACTTGCGATGCATTAAAGGTGCTCACTGTGACGACCATTCATGCTACAAAAGTCACCACTGTCCGTGGGGGCTGAGATGCAAAAAACGGCTTAGCATGGGCTGCAAGTTTGAAATTCATTTCGGGCCAGATGAAACGGAGGTCATTTAATGCACCTAACTATGGGAAACATATGGTACGCTGGGAGGACAATAAGATACGTACTGCAGCCGTGTTTTGGGTGAGATGTCATTAAAAGGAAATTTGTACTGCAATCAATGAAAAGATAGAGAAAACGAAAGCTTCGTGAATGACAACTTTTTCAGCCATCCACAGGATTCCTTGGCATTTAGCGAGTGCTCGACCACCCCTGCTGCTCTATGGCCACGAAAACCGTTATAATAACACTGATTCTTTTTCTACCGGTGACTGGTACGAATCAAAAATGGATATCTTTATATTCCTTGTGAAGATCTAAGCCCTACATAATTAGCATAGTACGTAGTATCATGGTTCGTAGGGATCATGATGGTCTATCGCGCAGTGGTAGGGCGACGCCGGTCGTGGCCGCAGCCTCGAAGTAGACAATATCTCCTGCTTGTTACACGCATTAATCCTGTGGCCAATTTCCTTACACACACTACACCTAGGTGAGACCCTGGCAAGTGGTAAATTTGCCTGATTATGAAACTGCATTGTCATGCGATACCACTGCATCAGCCTCTACCCAGTGATTTAGCTATCAAACTACACGTCGGCTCTCTTCAGGTGTTTGCAGTCAAATGCTCTCTTCAGGGTGTATGACTAGTTAGCTTACTGCGCCTCTTAACGATCAATAGCATGAGTTGAGCTGGCCTTGGGAAGCGGCGTCTTCGTCTTCCATTTGAGAAAACCCCCGCCGGCATTCTCACCATCGTAGTTTCTCCAGGCTAAGCGGTGGTCCAGTGGACACGTCCCGGTAAGGTGTCGTTTGCGGAGGTGGGTAATCCGGACGCATCTAGTCCGCTTGTTTCACAGGTGGGCAAGTGAACAGAGAGAGAAATTCATTGAATTGCTCTTGAAGTGTATGGTTAACCCAGTCACGTGAAAATCGGAACAAGATGACACAGCTCAGAGGGCTATCAGGGTGCGCCAAATAGGCATCACAGTAGGTTTGAATTCCCATGACCCCTATACGTGCCTTCCGTTACGCTGCAACCCAGCAATTTGCTTCTCTCATGGGTGGAACTACTACTGTTTGTTGCATATCAATTTGCCGGGACAAAGATATGTGTCCAGCCCCCTTAATCTCTGAAACTCTCGTGTAATGTAAATTTCCTAAAGAAAGAACGACGGCTCTCGATATCTGAAAGCTGCTTCACCTGAACAAAGATGCCAGGACTGCTTCAGGTTTTTGAATTTCAAGGGTCGCGCGCAACCAATTTTCTGTTTGAGCCTTCGCTATCCCGCGTCATTTTGCCAGATGATCCACCCACCTCAACAAAACGCAACCTCCAAATCAGAGTACACAAAATGCGATCTAGTTCAAACAGTTGGCGTGATATTGGAACGTCGTCGTGACAAAAAGTCGTCGGACCGACCCGGTGGATCCAACGCGAAATTTCGACACTGAAATGAAATTGAAGAAAGACATTCACCGGGCACTGATTTATTTCAAACACATACATCCACTGGCAAAAGGCAGATTGATATCTGGAGGAGACAGTCCCGGGGCGGCAACTTCAGGGTTATCCTCATGTCCTCCTTCTCCTTTGCCATCACCAATCACAACTCCAGTCATGAGCCAGCAATACAATCCATACAAGTTTCAATGAGCTTCTCTCGGTTGCGTTCATAATGATCCTTGAGCGTAATATCAATCTCCTGCCAGCCTAATTCGAGTAGTATCTTTATAGTTGTACTTGAATCGCTTTTGGATCCTTCAGTCCCGAAGTGACAATCCACCACTGTCTCAGTCCGGAAAACATTCTGGCCTTGACATCCAAATTGGTGCACTATGGCTTCCTCCAAAATTTTGAATTGGCGTCGTGGCCCAACATTGTTATCCATTAGTCTCTGCCAATGGGGGCCGAAAATGTTTTCAATTAGATCCACAGGATCCTCCGATCCTTCCTTTTCGTTTCCCAGACGAATAAAGCATGGCTTATCTTGGTCCGCGGCATTCACCAGCAATCTAGTACCAAAGGTGGCTTTCATGATTAGGCCGGGGCTAAGGTAGATTGGTCTTTGGGTAAATTGGAAGTTCGAAACAACGTAAGTTGCACGGCCCAGGATCATTTTTTGAGGAATTTCATGATAAACAGTGTTTGCTCTTATTGTCGATTTCTCCGTGTACTTTTGCCGACCCATTTTGGGGAGATCTTTGCCAGTGAGTCTGAGATGCGATGATGATTAAAGTTCTCGGAACAGAATAGCGAAAATATGGAATGAAAGAAGTAGACCTTTAGGAATAGAGATCAATCCCTTCGAAGATTATATACTAGTCAGTATACTGACATGTAAGAAATCTCATATAGGAAAGTTATCACCCCGTGGCCTAACAAATAGCGGGATATGCATTCGATGTATCAAATTTTTTTTAAAAAAGCAAAGAAAAAAGGAAAAAAAAGTACCACGAGGCTGAATGGTTGGGAGTAGAGCTGAAGCCGCATAAGATTGAGAACTTGGAGGTTCCGCAGACGCGTCCCAGCGGCACCCCATTCAGGCGAAACAAACAGTGTGGCTTTGAGACTGGTGTCAAATGTGGGTGTATGACTCAAAGGTCTCAAAGGGCCAATCAAATCTCCACGTCCCGGAGACTCAGGCGTCGTATGAAGGCTTCCGCTTAAGCTCGGTTTAACGGCTATGCTGGAATATCTCGGAAGGTTTTCTTTAAGTTTTCTTCAATGTTGCGCCATCCTCGAGACGGAATCTATCGAACTTATGCTCTCGGACCAGCTGAGGGGTTTTGACTAATCTGCTTCAATATTCGGTTGAGAGTGTATCTGTCCTCCGGACATTCCCCTATTTTCGCCCATGTGGGCGAGTCATTGACTGCATTAGTGTTATTGCCCCTGTGGAGTCAAAATTAGCTTTTAGGATCAGCACAGATACCTGTAATTTAACTGAGGCTGAATGCTTAACGGAGCCGGGACGGCTTCTCAACCGTCTACGCCGATACGGCCTGGCTGTATACCATGCAGGGACATGGCCTTGCAGGGGGCCAATCATGGTATGTGTTGGATGCTTCGGGGGAAATGGAATCCCAACTATCCCATCACCGATTGTGGCTTGAGCGTATCCGGGTCGAAAGGAACGGTTGGTTCCGGGACATGCTCCCACATCCATCGATAAGTTGCTTTTCGAGTAATTCTGATGTATCTGAAGTGACTCTTCTGTTGGACCTGGTCTCACCGCTTTGGAAAATATCAGTGCGGGGGTGCACACTTTTTCTCGAGAGTAGTGGACCAAAGGATGGCGTTTTCTATGGACGCTCTCCGTCGTTGGCCAACACCGCAGCGTCTTTTTCCACGGATAACGCAGTGCCCGGGCCTCCATGTTGACAGGTTCTACGGACTCGAAACTGATAAATAGTGTTATCAAGATAGGAATTTCCGACCGTGCCCATAAGCCGGTGTTATCATAAGAGAGAAGGAGGGTATGAGTCGGGTAACTCCGCTTTTCAGAAAAGGCCAAAAACATACCGCTTGACTTGTCGTAGTGAAGAATAACGTAAACACCTAAGCCCCTGATAAATTGAGGGCTCAGATTACGTCGTGACGCGTTTCGACCGTGTCTCGCGAGATAGAACATTGAGCTCGTGTGTATCAGCTCAGTTGATGTCAAACGTGCTGGAAGAGTTCCTATATAACCCAGCCGGTGCTCATATTGGAATGTTTCTCATACTAGGCGCTATCGTCCAAGCATGTGCCTAGTACCACTCAACTAAACTATCTCCAAGTTTGGTACTTGGGATATGCGATTTTGAACAAAACTCACATATAAACTAACGCCTAAAAGTTTAGGCTCTGGGATACAATACAGGGGTGGAAGAGCAGGGAATTTTTGTTCTCCCGAAAGAACGTGCCGCCAAAAAAGGCGAACTCATCTTGTTGCAGGAGAAAACAGAGTGGATGGATTGGAATGGAAAGGGCCCCATTTTATAACTTCATGTCAGATGGAAGGAAGGGATGGGAGTAAACCGCCAAACTTCTTCAAGCCGCGGAGTTTGGCGGAGTTTGAATACCTCACGAGAAAAACAAGCTGCAACTTGTTCCAAGGAATGGGACGCAAGTCCCTCCTAATTCAAAAGAATAAAGCGCGGCGAACAACGGCTTTGCAAACAGAATGTCGCAGACTTGTGCATCCTGTCCGAGGTGACCACGACTGCCGTATCTTTCAACCTGAGACATCGAAATTCGCTTGTGTCAAAATGACAACAAAACTAACGGAGACGGGGTGTAACTCCGTCTTATATACATAGTATGTCAGTACGCAACACCAGCCGATGGTGTGCAGGCAAGGGGTCATTTCCCTTCAGATTCCAAAAGCTAACGGCTGGTCTAGACCAATACATTCGGACGCACCAATTCCAAAACGGTATTTCAGCCAAACCACGCCAATAAGGGTCACTTCTCATGCTGCTCTTGAGACAGCATGGGAGGCTGTCCTGGTGTCCCTGTAGCAAAATCAGACGAGGCACACAGGTTACCCATTAAAAGCATACGAACGAGATACAAAGTGACATAGTGTGCCCCTGCCAATCTTTAAGCGGGCAGTAATAGCAGTAATAGCGATTCTTTCGGCAGAGAGTGAGTCAAGGGAGAACCACACAATTCTTTGAATCGGCGCAAATGGGGCGTAAATTTGGCCAAGCCAATATTTGGTAATGTTTGTTCGTTTCTTAAAAGGCACTGGAGCAAGGCGAGATCTTGGCCCTGGCCTAAATTTTTTACCGCTTCCCCCAAGCAAACAGGGGCACGGGTTGTGATATTTGGTTACAAAATAAAAATAGAAATAACAAGCATCGACTTCATTCGTATATCCGAAACAGAACCATGTCAGTTAGATGCTGCATACACATTCAATCTTGATGAGCTTTTCAGACTCAAGAACATCGTCCAGTAAGCTACCAATGTCATCCTGTGGGTAGCCCAAGACATCGTATGAAGTGTTCCCCTTCCGAACACTCAATGATTTTATGAACCAGCTTGGGTCGTTTGGGGGATCATTGGTAGCCAAAATTTGCGCCACAACTTGTCGAAGACCTTGGCGACTGGGATTCGCTATAAATCTCAGAGCGCCTATAGGTTTCTTGGCCGGATACTGAATATCAACGAGTACTGAGTAGCCCTTCGCACCGGCGTGGGAAGGGAATGAGGTCGAATGCGTCAAAACGGGCTGTGAACCCTCGCAACCACCTGTAGGTGGTGCAGCACTCTGTTCTGCGAGAGTAATGATCATGGTTGGTTCTTATAGTAGGGTTAGTATCATGATTATGGTAAATAGAGAATCTTTCCGAATACCTTCTAGAATAACGTTAGGACTTTCCTGTGATGCAAGTGATTCAGGATCTTCCTTCCCAGGATCTTGCGCCGGGAAAGGGATGTCGATCGGTGCGCTGTCAATGCCCGATAGCGCAGGACTCTTCAATTCCGGTCCATATTGAACTTGCATCGGGATGGTTATATGACACTCTGGTAAGTAGTCGCGGCGTAATTCATGGCCACAATCAGCAAGATATTCCATAATACAATTGCTGGACATGTCATGTAAAGACTTGAGTGCCTGCAGTACATCCCCCGCGTATGTTTGCATGATCTTGACCCGCTCTCCATTTTCCGATTTGTAGGCGAATGCGACCACGTAGCCGGAACGCGTTTCGCAGGTCAGGATATCAGCCGTGTTGTTGAATAGAAAGCGAAGATTTGCTAGAGACTTGATTAACGCTGAGTTGCTCCGAAAAGGGCAAATCTTTCGCACCTAGCGTCTGGTCACGATAGAACGCGCCACTAAAATCTAACTTCCTCATATTGCGCAATGAATCAAGTAGAAAAAGGGGATCATGATTAGCACAACATCTTTTACGGAGGTGATATCATCATCGATATTTAAGCATACAAACCCAGTGTAAAGGTCGCTTCGACTGCTGGTAGGTATGCCAGGACACTACGTTACCATGTCACTGAACCATTTTGCTACCTTACGTTGCTTTCGACTCATGTAAGTCATTGATAGGATTCCAAAGGCGCGCTTCATTCCTAAGTCAGTAACATAGCCAGCATGAACAAGTGTTCCATTCTTCACATTTGAGAACCCGTTGCAATAACAAGTGGTGGAAGGAGGGGTTCGGTGGGGACATCAAAGGCCTCAAAATAACGCTGTCAAGCATATCGAGTTATGTGTATTACAGGATATTTCACCTGATTAGAGTCGAAATGTTCGCTCAGTTTACAAAATTCTTCACTTCACCAACTCTACACCTTGGCCGCTCGTGGGATGGGGGCCCAGCCCCGCCCCACCAGGAATTTCTTAATTATGAGTAGCTTCCCAGGAGGCTACGCAGAATGAAGCCATCGCCCCAACTGTGCGGTACGGATTCATACAAACAAACTTCATGTTAATTTCTAAACTTGGGTCCCCTTCTCTGATACAATGACGTTGAAGTGTTTCTCCAATCTAGTAACCCAAAGACCTCGTGCTGGGCCATGCGGTACCTTGCCTCCATTCTGACCGTGTGGTACATGGAAGAGAATTTGATAATCCTCTCCGTCGGGGCCCTTGAGTTTAAAAATATGTATTGACAACGGCCTGGACATATCAACTAGTGGCGTTACCTTACAAACCCTAGCTCCCGCGGGGATCGACAGTCGCGCCCCATCAATATCAAATCGACCAACTTCGACCGCGCCAAGATCACAGTTTTTATACTGGATCGCTCTGGAAATCTGTAGTGTTGAAGATTAATGATGGACAACTGGTGAGTTTTTAGGGGTATAGTGTTACCAAAAAGCTGGCTGGAATTTAGGCTCAAAAATGGCTAGTATTCGCCGGATACCAGCGACCCCCATGGGATAGGTGGGAGGTGACCTGATAACGAGACGGAGCTAACGCATAGCGACATCACTAACAGATAATCAAGTTCTAGATAGGCTCATGAACAAGGCCACTCGCCTTGATGACGAAATCCATAGACACCTTAGCCATTGAAGTGATGCGAGGACCAATGGTGTACGTTTTCGCCAGTGCTGCTGGCCCATGGACTTGAGATTCCAGCACACGCTATTGCACGATACTCGCTGGAACCAGACCCCACCGATTACCGTACACACTCCCTCGACGAGCATTTGCAGCCAAAATTGAAACTCCTGGCACTCCGGTCACCAACGTACCTCCAATATATTCCCACCCGTCATGATCAATCCGCGCCTGGACCTCATGAGCCTCTGCATGGTTGGAAGGCTTGGTATCATATGAACCAAAATAAAACTGGGTTTTGGTCGGCCCATTTGACTAAAGCAGCGGCAAACCATCGAGTCCATACTCCCGTCATTATCTTGGGTAACCTTTGAGATTAATCGTGTCGTCCGATAATCGTCGTTCGCGCTTCCTCGAAAATCCGCTCGATCTCAGCGCACTGCGACGCTTCTTGCTCTTTCCACTCGGCTGGCCATAATTGACATCCGTTCGGATTGTATCCCGCTTCCATCCAGCCACCCAGATACAACTTCCAGCGGCCGGACGCCTTTTTGACCGGACACATATATTCTTGCCTGACCTGATATGAAACGCCTTTGCTGTATAACAGTCTGATGTAATCCAGTACAGCCCGCTGCATTTCGAGCAACGAATCAAGGTCCAAAGACCGGTCTTTGACACGGAGCAAAAGGGGTGCAAATCGGAGACGGGGCGATATAATTAAGAAGGCTCTGCTGGCGGAATCGAGTTCGGAGACACGAGGATCATCAACCAGTTTGGAAGGCATTTGGCGAAGAGTTTTCAAGACGTGATATTCGCGAATGGAGTCATCATCGACAGCCTAAAGGAAAATCAAAGTAGTTAGGGACCTGTGGTGGAAATCTCAAGGGTCCAGAAGAGACAAACCGGGCGACAGACGACCTTCGAGTATGGTGTAAATGAATTTGTAGATTTTAAAATAGGATCTACATCCCTCTTTTCCCTGCCTCGGGCGCGTTTGGTTGGGATTCGGTGAGAGCCACCTCGTCCTTGTTCCCGGAGTCTCATAGGGGAATGTTTCTGTGGCATCTGATTCGGCTAGATAAATCGATGCGTTGACTTGATCTGTGTTGCGCAAGAGGTTGTTCTGGTAGGATTCTGGTTGAAACAGTACGACGAGTTGTAGCGGACAGGTTTTGTTTGGGGGTTCTCCTTTGGGTCAATTGTTTACAGCTATTTGAAGGGCAACCGTGAGCCAATCATTCTATGGACGCCAGGCACTGGCGTCAACACGTGTGTTTCGGTATACTTGGCCCCGGCTCTTCGCCAAGAAGCCAGAAACGGCGTACGGTAGCCGCCACAATCAGTACCTAAATATAACTTGGACCAGTTCTCGCAGGTAGCGTACTAACTGTAGTAACGGGAATGGGCCGGGATGGGATCCATTGCGAATAACTTTACACTACAACTAACCTCACTGACTGACTAGAACGGATTCGTTTAGGGGCATTGTCGCAAACTATTGGGATTTGAACAGGCCATTACAAATTGTGAGATATGGGCCTTTAAGAAATTCAAGCTTGTAATTCATCTCATTGCAATAGCCGTATAATACACGCCCACTTAAGGCCACCCGAGTTGCTCTAAACCTTTTTTAGACATTCCCACGAAATCCAGTCGGTAACCACGGGTCAATGTCTCGTACAGTATCAACGTTTCACCGTGCTGAAGACTTTGAAGAGTGGTCCGAAAACGTCCTTCCACATCCTCGTATGTCCTCGAAATATCTTCCAAGCTCTTGTCTTCTTCCAGACCTCTCCGGCGTATAATTTGTTCCAGTAATTTTTCACCAAACATAGCGTAATGTTCCAGCCCATCTTGTCCAGCCCGTATAATGACAATATCGTCCAGCCAAGATGACCTCCGATTACTCCCGTGGTCAATGCATCCACACTCATCCTGTGTGTATCGATCAACTCCAAAGTCACGGAGCCGCCCAAGCAGCATCGAAAGACAAGTGGTTGTGAGATATAATTGTTGTAAAACAGACACGGATTCTTTCAGGCCTTTGAGATGTGTTTCGTGTTTCTTAAGGTCACGGATAGCAGAGGTTATGCAGGCCATGCACCGGCGCCTAGTTTTGTCATTGAACTGTCCCGGAGCACTGCTTGGCATTTCAGTATATTGCTCTTATAGCCCATAATCTTCACGTACCAGCGTATGATGTTAAGGTAAGTGCTAAGCGCATGGAATAACGCCAAAAGCACCTCCTGGAGTTTATATAAGCCATAACCCGTTACTGTAATCTCTAGAATCCGAGAGGCGTCTCTATCAGGTGAGGCCTGTTTGGTCATACCATCGCAGATTTGGAGGCAGAGCAAATAGAATGGGTCAAGTTGCCAACCGGGACACCACATGGAGCCCAGTAATGTGTCCTGCAGTGATCTCATTCCATCCTCAAGGGCGCTGAGGTCAACAAGTCCACTAGGTTCTACCTTTCTGATGATCTCCAGAACCAGAACCGTTGATTCAAAAAGTTGATCTCGGGGGGAAGGTTGCGATTGAGAATTCATTTCGGCATTGACAGCAAACAACACGTTAACTTCGCCTTTGAACGAGATTTGTGACTCAAATAGAGAATGCGTAATGGTGAATGCGAGTAAACTAGATCTTGCGTCGACCGTTCGTGAGGTCCTCCCTTCGGACGGTGTTCTGAAGGTGGGGTACAGCGGTGTCTGATGTATTTAATACAGTGGTGTTTCTGCCGGCGAGGCCTCCACTAATCAAAGACCGATCATACCAGACGGTACAGTAAATTTCGAAAATGGTCCCCACAGACAGACAGTGTCGTAATATTGGGCACAGGCCAGTCACTCGCGCTGGGATAAGGATCAGGGGTCGCTTACGAGTCTCTATTTCCTATTTTACTCTGGTACTGCGAAAGACCGAATCTTTGGCGAAATGAGACTGGCATACAACCATGTGGGCGTGTTTCAGGGTTCGCGGCTAATGGTGGATATGTGGAATTTCTTTTCCTTCAAAGAACGGTGGCATAGTCCGCCCCACGCCTGGACAGATGTGATTACCTGCTCAGCGCTTAGTCGTTGGACACCACGTCATAAATTGTCGGTGTTTTGGGTAAGTATGCCCTGTGTGGAAAGAGAAGGTCTCATCATACGTGTCGAATGCGGTGATTGAACTAACCGCCCGTGGTGATGGTGGGGATCGCCGACAATGCGAACCATTTGTCCAACCAGTGGGGAATGTTAAACTGCGAGCACACGATGTAGCACCGCGATGTACCTAGAGGTCTAGTGGGAATTGTTACGGACACAACAGCTTTCTTCTAGTTAACCAGTAAAAATCTGTTGTGTCCGTAACAATTCCCAAGGATGGCTTGCTGTTTCTCACATGATTTCCCCATCCAGACTCAGCCTGTGTTTCGGTTCCTCATTTCGTAGAATAACCAAAACGACGGGCCCTTGGGATGGGTATCTACCCGTATGCAGGGTTATTGGCCACTAAATCCTATTTCTATGCGCTCAGGCAAGGTTTTCATTGTTACCATCATCCACAATAGCTGACCGAGTTTGTCAGAATTTGATTAAATCTCCATAGTAGGACCCTGCGTACGTCCGTCACATGGCGGATCCGGATCCAATCACTTAGTTAGCGCCAGCATTCAATGACTCATCCACAGCCACGAAACTAACTTATCTAGTTAGTTAACTATGCCTCCAGATCGAGGGGTATCCTCACGCAGCCAGTCAAGCTTTCGGGTTCAGAGCGGGCGGCTACAGAAACACCAAGGATGAGCTCCACCTGAAAGCGGAGCGCTCAAGTTATTTCAATCGAAGAGCAGGCATACTGGCGGCGTGGGCCGATGCTTATGCTATTTCTTAAGTCTATCTCAATTGCACAAAATGGTTTAATATTGTACGCGCACAACCCCAGCTTCAAGAAAAGCGAATACTTTATTTCGAGCCTTTACGCTCGGGCAGGGAGCCGCCCATATTCATGCGCTCAGTGTATCTGTGCCTTCTGCTCATCCACCGTCCCGATTTGAGTCGGCAGAAAGGTACAGAATAAAACCTGAGTTGTTAGTTATATTGACTCCCTAACCCTGCAGTAAACCAAAATAAACCTTCCTGCATTTGGTCTTAGTGGTATTTGACAACATCTTCAACTCGACACTCGCTTTCCTTTGGGCTTCTGTATTTGGCTGAATAACAGGCCAGGAATTAACCATAGCATGGAAGTCATCTAGCTATGATGTAAATCACATTGTAGATGGTGAGTTATGATGCTGTGGTGTTGTCATGGCGGACGGCCTGACTTGTGAGACCCCAAGGCGGTCAGCAGTGCGGCACGCTGCGACCCTCTCTCCTTCACCCTCGCCTCCAGGCAACCCCTTTGACGATCCCCACCGACAACCTGGACGACCTGCGACTCTAAATATGATCTCGCCATCTATACAACTAATATAATCACTATCATCATGCCCCAGACGGCCACCATAAGGAGTCACCCGTTTAACTCCCACACTCCGCCCTCCATATCCAGCGCGCGACCGGCTGAGCACAACGCTGATCTTGATGAGCGCATAAAACAACTCGACTCGCGTGTATTCGAGCTTCAATCTACCGTCCTTACTAAGGATGGCTATGTTGACCGCCGGAACCGCGAGGATGACCACATCCGTCGCGAAATGGAGACCCAACGTGCTACCTCCCACCTTATTGACCTCAACGTCATGGCACTGCGCTCTGATGTCGCCCAGATAAACTCGCGCTTGGACTCAGTGGACTCGCGTTTGGACTCTATGGCGTCGCACATGAGACTCTCTGACCGTGTCCGTTTCAACTCTCTCGCCCACACCATTTCTGCGCCCATCAGCTCTGTTCCTGTCATCACTGAGAGCGGTGCTCTTGAATGGCCCAAATACTTTCCGCGCACGGTTTGGAAGTTCTGGTGTCTCAAAAACAGAAATCGAGGTATGCGTTGATCAATGAAATCACATCATCGTTCCGCTTTCTAACATATATATAGTTCATCGCTTGGTTGAACTCGCGGAATTTTACCAACTGGGTGGTTACAAGGATTGGTCTCGTATGCAGCAGACCGACATATTTGCCGACAGCGACTCAAGTGACTCCAGCGATGAATCAGCCGTTATAACTCGAGAAGAAGCCGTTCGTCGCTTCCCCGAAACCGCACATCGAGTACTCGCCGCCACTCTAGGTCTTGTGTACTACAAGATTCGCAATGAGGTGGGCGAAGGCCCTGATGCCATGCCTTCTCGTCCGTTGAAGCGTCAACACGAAAAACATGCTTCCGCAAGTCCACGCTCCAATGCTAAGCATGTAAAGATGCCACGTACACTCAGTGTATCTGACACTTACTGGCGACGGTTAATCAATGGCACCCCTGTGCCTGAGTCTCAGTCATCCGGCTCCGAGGAGCTTGACGAGTTAGGATGGAATCCATTTTCAGATGTCTCCGAGGACGCGATGAGCAAGCTGCGATCAATTGAGCCGCAAGACATTGGAGCTGTCCTTCGTGCTTTGGAACAAGGTCGTCTCAAATTAAAACCCAGTAATTCCGAAAAGGCGGGCATGTCTCCCGCTGAGACCAAGGCGTCCAAGGTCAGCCATGGACGATTAGCCAAGTCAGTTGAAAAGTCTGATGTGCCTACCGAGCCACAAACTCCTACCCAGCCTATTTCATCACCGTCTCGCAAGGCTAAGTCAGGTCCTGAGACTGCATGCAGTTCCAATTTGGATAGTGCAACAACTTGATTGCTGCCACATACACATTACTTTAATTTACAATCTCCCCCTGACCGCAAAGCATCGCCGTCATCGCGCTGCTCATTCAGGCGCGCAGCCGGCGGCAATCCAGGCGGAAGCTCTGAAAGCCCATCCATAGAATCCGGACACTGAGCCATTCCACTATCCCACGGGGGAATTGCAGTCCGGCGCACTGCAGTTGGGGTTAAGCTTATTTGCATGTGCTTAGGACTGTAAAAGAGGGTGCACTACAATATTCTATGCCCTATTGTCAATTGAGATCTTCTGTGATCCCAATTCTCTGCCTCCCAATGCGTGCTCCCCTTTTTAGGCCCGCGTCACCCAAACAATCCTGACACGAAATCTATCACATGGCGAGCAGCAGTTTCCAACGACTTCTCCGTGACAATCGGTAAGAGGTGGAGAGTGAGCTCCTTTGGCCTCATCCCAGCCTCCAGTCATCATAGCAATCGCGAACAGCAAAGCGGCATCTGGCATGTATGGTGTCATGACCCGACTGCCTCCCTCGGGATATCCAGCATCGTTAAACTAGAATTCTGGTAGAGCAAATACGCGGTTGCCTGGTCAATGTTACCTAGACGTAAGGAGTTCAGAACTAGCATGGAGAAATGCCAGCTATATGAATCCTCCAGTGCCCACAACTCTTTCACTTTCCTGTCTGTGCTCTACGTGATCGTCAAATTTATCTGCTTAACGGTTGATGGAGGCAGCAACAGTCAGTAGATGCTAGTCATAGCTGGATGATCATCGTTGTGTCATTGTTAGTCCACATGTTCGGGATACTTTCGTATACTGCGTAGGCGTCGTTAACAACGGAAGTGGCGCCAGGTTCTCAAAAACCTGAATCCAATGCTTTGGAGCCGACTGGCCTTGTCGACTTTCCAGCGATCTGCGACCTCCAGTCCAAAGCGCCACTATGCCAGCCCACGGGATGACAGCTACAATGGGAGAAGTGTCTTCGGTGACGGAGTCACCAGTTGTCCCAAGTCATAAACGGCAGTTGTGGAATCCCACGAGCTAAAAGAATCCACGAAATCCACAGATTCGGTAAGAATAGTATCCCACTTAGCAAGTGTCGCATGAAAAGATTTGATCGCAATTTCATTTGACCCGGGAGATACAGTAAGTGTTGCACGTAGTAAACATATGTTTATACAACCACAAACTAAAATATAGGGCTTCTAGGTCCAGCGCCCTCAGCATATTATTCCGATAGCTAAGAATCCTTACGATCAGAGTTATGCAAAAATTGGGTTAAGTTGGTTCATATTGGGGTAAAGCCCGCGTTAGGCATTTAATTGACTTTATTCTATCGCCAGACACAGTCATGAGGTAATGGTCAAGTTCTTGCTATAGGACCCGCGTCATAAACCAAGGTTGCAAATTGGGGAGAACAGGATCTTGCACATCCTGTTGAAACATAGCCAGAGCGCATATGAGTCGGACTTCTAGCCAATGGAGGCATAAGGCCTTGTGATTCATCGTGCCTGATCAACCTCAGATGTGAACCCGAGCCAGTACCAGAAGAATGTCCAAAGTCTCGGTAGATTCTTCACCGATACCACCTTGTAGGCCTCACTATACAGAGATAGTCTATATCGACTTAAAAATGAGAACCATCGAGGAGACATCCATTGCCAACCTACCTCAAGTCTTTCCTCCACTAGATTCACTCTTTTCACCCTTCGAACCATTTGGCGAAGTAGTTGCCGAAAACCACTCCAACTCTTTCCCCGCATATCTGAGCGCGATCGGCAGCTGGGGAAGAGCTAGGGATCTGGGACTCAAGTCATACCAGAAGGTTATGGCTGTGCCTAGTATAACATGGATTGTGCTTACTCTCAGATATGGCACTTGTTATAGCTTGAGCGGGAGAAAGTAGAGAGCAGCCCGTTCTCCACAGGAACCAATTGAGAATATCTTCGAATAAAGATAATACAGGTCCCCAGCCTGTGCTTGCTGCTAATAGGGCGCTCACATGCAGCGATAAATTGTAGTCGAAGATCTTAAATTCTTAAAGCACTGTATACTAGGACATATATCGGCTCAGATTCGACACCATTTCAGGTAGGCAGTGGGAACTTTGCATTCGGTACCGACGTCACTGGCCTCCAGACCTTCGCTACTTGCGCCATCATGTCCACTTGGGGGCTGGCATACATGCAGCTTGCCAACTACAGCAGGGCAAATTTTGCCTGATGGTATGAAATATGTTTAGTTTATACCCGCTCTAGAGAAACACAGGCATCGCCCAGATTTCACAGGCCTTAACTGGTGGCCACATGGGAGGCTTGTTAACTAGGCTATGCCAAATCGGTGAAAATTTCATCCCGAATTGGTCATCCAAAAACCACTTGGATTATATTCTCCACTAAGGCTTCCAAGGGTTCCTTGAATGGAAGATATATACGCTGATTGATTGATCCTAACCTGCAAAAGTATTCTGACATTTCTTAATCAGCCCGCTTCCACCTCTACCTGAACTGAGATGGCCGCATTTGAACCGCTGGTGACAGTCAAGGTAGCTGGCTCGGTAAGCAAGGTAGTCACGAAAACGCTATCCGATAGCATTGAAATTCCGTTTGGCGGGCTGAGAGGGTTCCTTCTCGCACGTCACACCTTTAGGAGTCGGGTGGTACCAGCAGACCGTCTGGTCTGACTCAACATTGGGGGACGTTGCTCCTGATTTGTATGCTTCGATGTAGGGTTTGGAGATGATGCGCCATTCGCCGTGGGGGAAGCCTTTCGCCCATTGCGACGAGCCATCGTCTCAATGATGGGCCGAGTAAGGTCCAATGTAATGGGATTCGCCGTAATCTGGGAGGCAAGTTCATTAGCCAGGAATCATGAGAGCAGAGATCGCGGACGTACCGTTCCACGTAATGATTTCCACCAGCTGAGGCTTCATTTCGAGCATTTGCTGCCATCGTACGGTAATTTGTTCTTTACATATGAATACCCAGTTCTTTTCGTATTGAAATGTGTCGAGAACCACGGCGATACCGCCATAGCGTGTACATTCAGGAAATAGTTTTCGCGGGACAAAGGAAGAATAACTTACGGGCCATAGACGGCTTACTCCCAAGAGCTGCGATAAGTCTGTCGTGCCATACAGTCGTTATTGGGCCTGGAATGATACTATTTCCACCGTGCGTGGGCCACGCGTACCAGGGGAAAGCGCCATCAAGCGAATTTCTAGCGGATGAAGCCCCATTAGGGTCCTGGAAGTTTGGAATAGCAAAAATGGGATGATCTGTCTGGTTTTTCTTGGACCCAAGTAAAGCTATCGCCAACAAAGATATAAGCGGTGATCGCCGGGGTATACTGCGTTTACTAGCCTGACCACCTTCTCGAGTTAGCTCCAGCCAGTCCCCAGTCTCCATCAGCCCCAGAAGACAACTTTCAGACATCATCTTCAGCTGAACTGTATGCGCAAGAGTCCCTTTGGTACATCGAACTAATTCAAATGATGATCAAGCCATTCCTGAAGTTTTTTCTTCTTCTCTACGGTTTGGCCTCAAGGAGCCTCCGAGCTAGAAAGTTTAACGAAAGCATGAAATCTGGAGGCCGAGTACATAGATTCTTTGAAGAGAAATACTTGTACTGGCTGGAAGCTCTGAGTAGGCTTCATCAGGGCCCACGAATGGGCCGAGGACTTCGGCCCATGGCCCAACCCACGATGGGCTTGGGCCCTAACCACTAGCCCACCACGGGCCCCCCATGGGGGCCCATGAAAGCCCATTTTTGCATAAAATCATGGTCTTGGCGGTCATAAATCTGCTTATAAATTATGAATTATATCCTTGATGTCATACTTTACACTTATTTTTGCTATCATGTATGACTATTCTCGACGAAAATAAAGTTTGGCATAGCTTATTCTAGCTATGTATAGTAGAAATAGCTAGTGGAAATACTCAACCAGGAAGTTAGTATAGCTTTACAGTGTGCTTGTCAAGATGTATATTTCTGCGGTGTGTCGGAGCACCATTTTCTCTAAGGCCTGTGTACTGAATCTTCAATCTTTAATTTAGGTATATGAATTGTTTTAAATAAAGTCCCATGATCATTATATTCTAGTTGAGTATATTTCATTAAAGTTCAGTAATATTACCTACTATAAAGGTGTGATTACTTATCTCAAACAGAGAGTAATTTTCATAAATACGTGTTTGCATTGTTTGTGGCCCAATTGGGGGCCCACGGCCCATTATGGGCTATAGTATACGGCTCAAAGCCCAACCCATTCGTGGGTTGGCTTGGGTTGGGCCTGGGCCAAGGTGGGCTCTGATGAGGCCTAGTTTTGAGCTTGCTATCGAGTATTCCTCAGGGGGTGAAAGCAATGGAAGAACTTGAGTCTTGCTCTGTGAGTTCTGGTTTCCAGTCTGGATCCGGGACTGGCTGACAATAAACAGAAGAACATCGAATCCCAATATCTATATAGGTTTACAAAGACGGACGCCTGTTCATTTTAGCATACAAGGAGGTCATCGAATTCGGTCCATTGCAGGTGTCTGCCTCTGCCCTTGTGTTCAGTCCGTCTGGCAGCGTGATCAGGAGACTCTTTAGTCATGAGGAACCGAAATATATAGATTGAAGCCAAAGGTGGAAATAAATTGGAACGCCTGTCTTCAGACTCTCGAGGGCCATGGTGATAACGTGACCTCAGTGATCTTCTCAAATGACGGCCAGCGACTCACATCAGGTTACGGCGACAAAACAGTCAAGATCTGGGATGCCACTTCGGATGATTGTCTCTAGATTCTCTTTGTTGACAGGGCTGTATATCAACTTTCATTCTACCCAATCAACAACTTCTGAATTTCTACAGAACTTGGTTTTTTGAACGTGTACTCTCCTTCTGGCACGTTTAAATTTGATTTCGAGAAGACTCTTCCCCGCGACTCTAGTGACTCTGGCTATAGCACAAGTGCCAAAGACATATGGATTACGAATTTACGAATAAAGGACAGAATGCGCTTTGGCTACCTCCGCAGTGTCGCCCACTGAAGTCCATAGTACCAGGTTCAACAGTAGCATTGGCCACTCAATCAGGTCGTATCCTCGTGCTACGTTTCTCACCATGTTAAGCACTATATCCCATGGGGGTCGCTGGTACTCTGCAAATACCCGCCATTTTGTATGGTTAGGGTTGTTGGGGTTAACCCAAGTACCAGTCAGAAATGGACTACTTTTGAACCCAAATCCCAACCAGCTTTTTGGTCACACTATACCTCCAAAAATTCGCCAGTTAGTAATTCGGGTCAAATGCTCGAGCGATGGTCAAGATTTTAATACAAGATTTGAGAAAATCCTTCCTCCCCTTCCATAGTGTGGGGGAAGAGGTATGTGTATCGGCTTGTTGTTTTGCTAAGTGTTGTTATGCAAAGGAAGCTTGACTCTCGTCATTTCAGAGGGATACACAGAGGCCATATACACAGCATGAAATTCAAGTTGATTTACAATCAACTTGGATCTTCCTATGGATAGAGCAGGAAATTATTTCCGATGTTGCGGCTTCATTCCTGAGCAGACAGCCTCAAACCACAACAGTTTACAACAGGGGTAAGAGGCCTTGGGATACGAAAACCCGGATGCTGCCACGCTTTATAAAAAATGTCTTAATCGCCACACATCCGGGTCGCCATCCACGGACGGTCGCTTATCGGGACATGTTCACTGGACTATGGACACGGTATCGAGCTTGCACGCCAAGTCGCCGTCCCTCGACATACTCTCGAATCCAAAAACGCAAAGCGTAATCTATGACAGCCTAATATTCTTCCAATCCTCATGATCATCGTTGAGCATTGATGCTTCCCCAATTTCGTAGTGTCATTGTTTCGAGAAATAGTCTGGGTGGGAATGGCCTCTTTGCCAGGCGACTGACCCATTCCCCTCTCCGGGACCAAAGTGGATATTGGCTTGCGACAGTGGCCACGTGATCTGGCGTTCCTCTCGCGCACCGCAGCCGCGCGCGTTTGTTAATGCGGTCCCCGCTTGTCAGAGATTCGACCCTTGGTCCACGAGTGAGGCGCGCATCACTCACAACATAAGCAGGACATGGGCAGAAGCTGCTCTCAGCGCTGCTTCGCGCGATGCTGCTGATGCGTTCTGATCGAGCCACACTGGACCGATGGAGCCTTTCCGCGTGCGCCTAAACTGCATCGATCACTATCAAGCGACCCCATCGAAGCTGGACCCTCCGCTACCATTTCGGGATGGGAATTTAGACGACAATGCTTGGCCCAAGGTACCGGTGATTCGAGTGTTCGGGGCGACCGAAACGGGCCAACGCGTATGCGTTCATGTCCATGGGGCCTTTCCTTATCTGTACATCGAATACAGTGGGTCTGTGGTTCCTGAAGCAGGTTCGTGGGATCAGTAGGGCTCGTACATGCTCGCGTGTTCCATTCACTAAATGCCAATCTTTCTCCAGTGAGCTCGGCCATCCGCACTCTCCATATCTCGATCGATCATGCTCTGGCGGCTAGTTTTCGATGTAATGCCTATGACCGCAAGACCGCGTATGTCGCACATATCACTTTGGTCAAAGGGATCCCCTTCTATGGATACCATGTCGGCTACCGGACCTTTTTCAAAATCTATCTTCTCAATCCCTTCTATGTCACTCGCCTAACAGATCTGCTGCATGAAGGAGCTGTCCTGAACCGACCGCTACAGCGGTACGAGAGCCACCTCCAGTACGTCCCGCAATGGATGTGTGACTACAACTTATATGGGTGTGGTTACATGGACTGTGGCAAAGTCACGTTCCGGCGGCCAGTGCCGGAATATTTGGAGCTGAACCATCCAGATCATCGCTGGCACGACCGCTCCATTAGTATCGACAGCATTCTCGAGGACCCTACCCTTGAGAAGCAGAGCTATTGTCCCCTGGAGGCAGATGTGTGCGTACACGACATCCTCAACCGACGTAATATCACGGAGCGTGCACTGCACCACGACTTTACTGAGTTCTTACGACCGGCCGCCTTCAACGAGCGGTTGGTTCCGAGCCTGGCTGGTCTATGGCAGGACGAGACTCGGAGGCGCAAAAAACGCTTGGGAATCACCGATCCTGGCAGTACACCATTCAGCCCCGACGAACTGGTTTCGATGTCTGCCGAACCAAGAATGCAGTCGAAGGGAGGATGGGTCCACGAGGATGAGTTCCACGAGCTGGCTCTCCAAATCGCCGTAGACGAGAAGAATAATCGTGATGGGGAGGCTGTCTCTTTTGAGACGTTTGTGGACGGACAGGATATGCAAAATATTAAAACAGCCTTGAGCAGTGTGGAAGATTTCTATCCAGACAGGTTTGACAGCTCGGTCCGACATGATGACCACCCCCTGCAGCACGCACCTGATGAAGAACCGCCGCATGTTTCCGCCGATGAGCGGCTTGCACCTACTTCCCCGACGAACGAGGAACGAGCAGTATGCATCGGATCTCAATGGTTGGAACGACATATCGACCGAATACCAGGTCGAAGAAGAACCACAACAGCCTCAATCTCCTGCAAACAGAGTCATAGAAGAGAGCTTCTACGACGGCGTATTCGACGAATATCCCCCAGCCGGCGAAGCCGAGGATCCTCGGCCCGTGAACGCCACCTTTGTCCCGGGTTTCAATGAGGTTTCTCGCAAAGCGCCTTCCTTCCTTTCAACTGGTCTCCAACCTAGCAATGAACGGCTTGATGATGAACGAGAGAATGCGCAGAATCTTGCAAAACGATCGCATCCCGAAATACTCGATTCTGACCAGTCACGTCCAGCCAAACAACCAAGGATTCCAGTATGTCATTAACAACAATAATTCAGAGTAAGCTTTTCCTAAGTTTTTCTTGAGGGTCGCAGGAGACCAACTGACAACTGGAAAAATGTCGCGGTGGTGATATTACCAATTTGAAAATAGCTTGCGACGGAATCGAATATACTCTGCACTCAACCTCCCATCTTTCGATCCATCCGGGCGTTTACATAGTTGCATCACAGGCCCTCTCATCCATAACGTCTGGTGCCAGTAATGTTATATGTTATAGTATCATCGATCACATATGCTGGCCACCTCCGCGCGAGAAGCACGCGCCCAAGACAACGAAGGCCTCCAACCAATACCGTCAAACGGCCGAACTATTTCGACTGCACCATCTTTACCGCTCCGGTGCGGTTGCTGTCATATTCAAACATCCCCGACCAACTCTAGCGCTTCCTCGGTGGTGGTTGGTCCTAGTTTCGATATCACCATCGTCACTGACGCCGGTCTGAATTTCTATACTATAGCGTTTAAATGCTGTATGATTTATGTTGCTTTATCAATTTGAACCATGCTATGGCCGACCAAACGCATTTCTTGAGAGGAATATCGAAGTGGCGAACGCTTCCGCTTCCAGCATGTAAGAAGGATGCGTTTGGTTGCATTCATTTCTCCGGTTGCAGTACTTCACTATAAGTGGAATGGTGATTCCAGTCCCGGAAGTGCTGGGTATGAGTCAATGTTACTATTGGGAATGGACCGTAGGTAGAACTGCATTTCTATGTCTGTATTTGCTAATGGTTTCGCAAGTTCTCGAAATCAGTCGGTTTCGGATACCTCTCTACCACGGAAAGAACGCTTCTCGTTGTGTCCTTTTCTGGAAAAGTTTTGAGGATCGAGAACAGCCAAATGCAAATAGAAGGCTACGGAATGTCTGGCTGTTCCCGAATCCGGTCGGGAGTGCACATGGCCAATGTACATAAATTGAGAACTATATCCTGTTCTGAGATTTCATGCACCACGGAGTTATCACGCTTTTAAACCTGCATCGTGACAATATGCCCCATCGAATCCCACCTTCAAAGGCGAATATACCAGAGCCGGAATCGCCCATTGGAATCCCACCTTCAAATTCAAAGGAGAATATACCAGTGCCGGAATCGCTCACTGGGGACTCTCCAGAGGCGGAGTCTCTTGGGATTGACTTGTCCGGCTGCTTGCAGCATCTCTCCTTGGAAACATCGAGTGAGATACGCAGTGTCGACCCTGAACCTGTTGGATTTAATCCATTTGAGGTATACCTCCAGGCTGAATCTGGCGAACAGCCACAGCCCCGTTTTGTCGAACATCTAGTCCGGGATGTTATTCGACCCCAGCTGGAGGGGCTCAGACAATGTCGTTGGTTTGAGATCGAGGATTTGCATGCCCTATATGAGAGTGCCCGAAAGTTCCAAATGAAATGGAACGTGCCTGAAACAAGCTTTCAGAATTTCTGCACACTGCTCTCGGGTTGCTTGGATTTCCCGTCCATTTTGCTGCTTAATCCCAGCCCCTTGGATCATCTGCCCTTTGATGAAATGCTCGAGGAATCGCCAACCCTGCTATGGCTACAGGATGTTCTTCGACCCATGCATCTTACTATCAGGGACATCATTGTTTTCGATACGTTCCCAATGGTTACCGATGACTTCATGGATCAGCTGAGTGAAGAGAACCGACGCAATTTCGTTCTTGAGGCGTTTGACCTTACACTTCTGTGTTTATCCCACATTCGTCCTCAGATTCTAATCTCTTGCCAGTGCGGGACTCAGCCGTTAAACGTTCGATGGGGGTTTGTGGACCACACGGTCGCTCGGAACCTCTGCTCGTCGGTGAGCAATGCTCGAGCGCAACGAGTCCGCGCGGTTAACGTTGAGTCACACGCAATTCATGTGGTTCAAGGGTTTCACCCCAATTATGTGGTCAAGATGATGCGGTCCAATGCAGGATTTGACCTCGATACCATGTTACAAGATCTGTTCCAGAGGGTTTTCCAGCCATTTGGGGATTGGAAATCGGATCGGGACGCGATGGAACGGGAAATACAGGAATCGGCTACTTTGGTGCGTGCTGGATTATTAGTCCAGCTGAGCCAAGTGAAGCAGTATCGACGGGCTTGCCAGCGAAATTTGCAGTTTGGAATCGCTGGCCCCGTGTCGGTTGAGAGGGTAGAGGAAGTACAGTCACTGATGGAGGAGTGGATTAGATGGTTCAGTGTCTAGTGATTTTCGATATTCTATTTGCTTCTGAGGCGTTTCTGGTGTGAAAAATGTAATCGGCCGCGTCCATCGTCCTTTCAACAGAACTGTTCTGTAGGAGCGCAGAATTTTCCCCTCTAAACTAATCGTTATCAACTGGTATTCAAGAGCCTCCTACTTAGGTTCGATGAAATATTACTCACTTCATTTTCATTTTGTAGGCATGTCACATGCATGGCACGCTTTCAGACTCGTATTCAACCTAAGCCATTCTCAATCATAAAAGCTACCTAGCGAAACATCCGGGGGAAATGGCTCGCTCACAGAATGCCAGCCAAATTGCTGATGTCTATCAGCTTCTGGTCAGGAAGAGCTTCGAACCTTTCTTATCGAGGCCAGAGTTTGACAAGAAGCTGTGGAGGCTTACAATACTGCTCAGAACTTCGCTGGTGTCCAGAAGATGTGGCTCTACACACAAATTCTTCAGACTATCTATATCCTCTCCTTCCCTGAGCGAACTGATGTAGGCTTGCTGAGGAAACTAAAAATATGCGGATCATGCTTTGGATGACATTAATTTGGAAAATAGTAGACTTGATGGAGAGACAAACAGGGAAGGGCAATAATTATTGCTTGATTTTAAGCTTCGACCGACTCACGAATGGTTCCAAGTAGCCAGACATGCATACCTCAACGGGTCTATGATTCAGGTTGCTTTCTCCAGTGCAAGGCAGATGAGGATGTAGATCTGCAAGCGGCACAGGACAAGGCATCATTGGCCTGGACTGACATGACACCAACAGCGAACGCCAAGACCCAGTATACGCATATTGGACACATTGTTCGAAACGGTTTATAACCGCTCGACTCCGCTGGCTAGCTACACGGGAAACGATACCAAATCCACAGATCGAATCGGAAGGCCACCAGCGATCTCTTATACTATCCAGTATTACCACAACGCTCAAAATGCTTTCTGGAAAGAGTCCTTCTCAATCTCAAAGTAGCCATCCAACATCCACCGCAAAGTTAAATAAACTTTGGGGGTAATTGGTCGCAAACCTATCTTGTCGATCCCTAATTTCGATCTTTTTCAGGGGTACCGGGATATGGAGGTGGGGAAATCTCAGCTCCTCTTTGAAGTGCCAATTTCAAATCAAATCCTTTGAGAGTGCCAAGGATTTGGGTACTATTTTTCCCGGCACGTATATTTGTGGCTGCTACGTTTGGACCGGTAATATATTGAGTTGACCCTGGTGCAGCCGTGACATTGGAGAACTGGTTGGCGGCTTGAGGTGCGATGTGTGGTATAATAGTACTACCCGGAGGGAGCGATAGACGACTATGGTGAGGCGGTGGCACTTGGATGAGCAGAGGCTCAGGCGAGTCATCGAGTCGTGGCTTTTCTTTCCTGAAAAACGAAAGGAAGCCCATGGCTGTGTCAAGGCGTTAGGGCAGCCCCAATCAACTAGTTGGCTACTTTGGTAAGAATCAGGGTATCCTTCTGCGATGCGGACATCGTACCTTCGGTGAAATCTAGTTTGGTTTTCCTAGCACAGTGATACACATTTCATCCTGCGATATTGTCAGAGGACAACATAACTTGAACCGGATCCTTTCAGTGTTCTGGTAGTTCTGGCCGACGGGCCCGGGAGGAGAAGAGGAGAGGGTTGGGGGGGGGGGGGGGGGCGGTAATGTCGTCTTGAACAATGCTGTCAGAAGTGGGCTTTTGGTAGTGAGCTCGCAAATCAGGAATGTGAGGGGTTTAAATCCGAGCCACACCTTTTCGACCCGCTTGTTGGAATGTTATCCACCGATGAACACGTCAGCTATCCCTCACAGACGAGTTTAGGAAGGGTTGGATGCGCTTAGTGAGAACAAATGATGTTGCGTCGTTGTCGACTCCATGACATACATAGTGTCGGAACATGAAGTGGTAACTTACCACTAGCCAGGGGCTATACTGACCCGCTTTCCTTTGTGTTTTGTATAGAAATTTCGTGTCTTGGGCATTACGGCTGTCGTAACACCGTGTACCTATCCATCTATGGGGTATTTCGACCTGCCCATGATATTCGTTCTTTCTTCAATCAATCAACTCAATCATCTCGAATTGGTTCCGCTTGCTCCTACCTCGTTGCCTATTCGTCCAAGAGGATTACTAGCCCATAATATGTCAGCTTGCCCCGATAGGTCCTGTCTTCTGGTTGGTAGCGGAATGTCTTATAACCCGGTCAATACAGCGGTGGGAAAGACGCTGTTGTCACATTGGGCACTAAAGAAGGCCAAGCGGTAATTGATTGGCTGCCAGCCAGTCTGTGATCAAATGCCCATACCCGCATTAGTTCGCAATGTACGAATTCACTGGCAAGGGGGGATATTTGGAAGGAATTTAGTATTGCAATAGCTGAAGCGGACTTTTACCAACGAAGCATGGTGGTTTCATATGCCAATCCATCCATGAGAGCGATCGGACTAAGCGTTGCGGCCCGGGAACGGGGAACTTGCCCTGGCTAACGACGGTTAAAGGCGCCACATGGAGTAAGCGAGTCTACAGACAGATCCCAAGATGTTGTTGCGTGTGACGATTCACGTCGGACCCGTCCAATGGTGATGTAGTTCTCGATACGTTGAATCGGTACTTTCCCCACCCCATTTTCTGCTAGGTGCCTTGGGCTCCTTGGGTATAGGAGTATGAGGATGGTCGGGGAAATTCTTTAGGGCCGTACAGAAGCGCTGTGGTGCACCCACAGCAAGGCCCAGATAATACGCATCACGGCCTGCCATAATTTGGCCCTTGGTCATCCTGTGTGCGTCGTGTGTTATCCGTGCCCTTCGCTACGCTGCGACCCACCCATCCGCTACCGCGTATGGGTGCGCCACTTTTTCATGCCCACCACCTTTTCATGCCCAATTTTCGAATACACCATGCAATTAATCCACCAAAGTAGCTAAATATCAGTTAAATACACTGTTAACCCATGTAGAAGAGCTCTCCTTTCTCCCTCGCTTCTCTCTCATTATCAATTGCTCTTTGAATACTCTCCTGAGTGCGCTGTGAGGGTTTAAACCCAAGCGCCCTTTCGACCTGTTGATCAAGCTTCTTCTTCTCAGCAGCGTTCTCCTTCTCCTTTCTCTTTTTAATTGACCGATTCGCATCACGACGAGCCCTTAGTATACCATCCTGGCTAAGCGGTTTAACCTGCCGCTTAGTATATACTCGACGTTGGGGGTCTTGCGCAGCCCGAACGCGCCGAAGTGAATCCTGCGTCATAGCAAGCTCCTCCAGCTTATCTAGCTGGTGTTTGAAATTTTTAGCGATATTTCGCTGAGCCTTCGCTGAATTGACCTGAAGATCTCTTAATATCTTCGCGTGATTCCTCTCCAGCGCTTCGACAGTAGTGGGAGGGCTATTTTCCACGCTAGAAGATAGAAATTCTGGAGATGGTGTGCGAATATACGACCGAAGCTCCGGTGCATATAGTTCAGGAGGATCTTGCTGATTCGCTAGATTATCCACAATCTGACTACCATTGACTGGGTAAATACCACGCTCTTTGAAAGATTGACGAATAATTCGCGGATTAAAGGCCTTTTCGCGAATTGGCCCGATAATCCGCAGGAAATCTGATTTCCCATACGGTCGACCACCCCAGAACGATAGCTCATTATTCGTAAGGCGAAACTGCTGTTTATAATTCAAAAAGGGCTTCCCATCAAGCGGTTGACAGAGGTGTGTAGAATGCGGTAGAAATGCGAATGGTACGATCGCATACTGCTCGCATTTCTCCAGAAATTCGAGGGTAAGATGCGCGCCGTGCCCGTCGAATATAAGATATCGCTTCTCGCCTGATCGTAAGCGATCACCAGCAGTAGCAGTAATAAAGTAGCCTAGCCAAGCTAGTGCTAATTCATCAGAAATCCAGCCGTTTGGTGATATTGCAGTGCCTGTGTTAGGCGGCAGGGCTTCGCTACCATTGTACCAGGTTTCCATGAAGTTAGATCCGCTACTTTTGAAGATAAAGAGTGGATCCATTAGCCAGCCGTCAGCAGCGATACACTCAACCGCAGTGATAGTCTCGCCTCGCTCAGTTTCAGCTAGATCAGGGCAAGATAAGCGAGAGCCGATAACTTTCCTCGATCGCCCTTGGCCAGGCTGGAAGCCGCATTCATCGAAGTTGTATACTAGCCGTGGGGGTACATCATGGAGGAGAGTTGCTAGCTTATGGTACCAATGCGCAAGGAAGCCTGCATCTTCGGCTTGGATTCGCTTCAATTCCTTCGTCTTCTGCTTCACTGGGGCTAGCTTTAGATGCGCTGGAAGACGTGCTATAAAGCGATACGCCCACATCTTGCTAACCTGCCTCTCCGGCTCGCCCCCTCGTGCGATCGCACGATTCGCCCAAGCTTCTATTATCGCTGCGGTAGGGGGAAGGTTCCAATGGCGCATTTTAGCTATTCAATTGATTAAGGCTTTCTCCTGGAATGCACGAAGGGCGTTTCTCTGCGAATCCTGCGGTATAGGAGGCGATTTGGCCTTTCTGACGCGCTTGGAAAGGGTATCGCGAGACACGTCGAATTCACGCGCAATTTTGGAGAAATTTGGGTTTTTTTCGCGCATAGCGGCTGCGAAGGCCTTTGCCATACGTTCTTCGTTGAAATTAGCAGATTTAGGCATATTGGGTGGTTGAAGTAGCTGAATGTGTGGTGTATTCGAAAATTGGGCATGAAAAAGTGGCGCACCCATACGCGGAAGCGGATGGGTGGGTCGCAGCGTAGCGAAGGGCACGGATATGACTCCTTTTAGCTGTCTCCCCATGCGGGTTGGCCCGTCCTTCGGTTGACCCACTGGTTCCCCCTATTCTCATCACACTCAGTACGGACTCTATACGGAGTAACAAGGGGTGACGGTGAAAAGACCACGATCGTGCGTGGCTTTTGGAGGGGGAATCGTGGTCTTTTCACCTAGCGTCTCGGACCCCACGGCGGTAGCCAAATTAGGCTTAGCGTAGTTTCCATAAATATGTGTACATACTCAAGTACCCAGTGCGTAAAATCATAGGGCAAAAGGTATAAATAAGCCTGAATGATCAGTTAAGGTCATCCTCATATCTAATTTTCTCCAAGAGAGCGAAGAGAGATACTGTTGTTATACATAACAGAAATGTAATCGTTCACGATGCCAAAAAAAACTCGAGCTAAGCGTACTGAAATCGACTGGAACTTATTCGTTCACCAACCAGATACGCAAGTCAACAGTGACCATGCCGAAGCTACAAAACAAAATCTGAAGCACATAGAACGCAATTTTCGCAAGTTGGTCGATCTATCCTCTCACTTACTCTTTCAAGGTCACTTACAAATAATGCCAGGTTTACCCAAAGACTGGACCCACCCGATGCTCAAACATGGCTCAAGAATATCACATTACGGGTAGTTGAAGGATTTCTTCGATGGTATCTCGACAACCACAATGTTGAATATCAGTCCACATTCCTTGTTTTCGCAAGATATTTCAGAATGTATTGGTGTGAAGAAATGCGCCGCGAATTTTCTTACGATCTTCGTCGAAAGATGACTATGGTAAGTACTATCTTAAACCTTCTCAACGATAAATACTTACTATTGAAGCTCGTATGCACCACACTTACCGACGAGTACGAGCTTGATCTGGGTGGTAAAACGCAGCCATCAGTCAACATCGACGATCTCTTGTACTCAACCTATCACCTCCTTGCCGTGTGTGATATTGCATTCCCTACGTTTCGCTGCCAAGGCCAATTAAGCACGTTGCGGAAAATGATGACTTCTACATCAGCTCGACCTGGAACACTGGTTGAGTCTTCCGGCTATATGAGGAGTAACGATGCCTTGAAATGGAAGGATATTGAATTGTATATGGTGAAAAATCCCGACAATCCGACATGCCAGGTGCTCCTCATGAGAGTCACACATAGGCTTAACAAAGGCAAGAGGAACAAAGGCGTACCGTAAGAAGCACAATCTATGAGAGATACGCACAATCCTGACAAAAGCAGACCTGTTTTCATCTACACAGAACGGAACGATAACCTGGGCCTTTGTGTTATTCAGGATATTCTTGAATATGCCTTTCTCGATAATGCTTTTGCTAGCGAGCGCATTAAATGTCCGCGAGATATTTGGAACCTCACAGAGGTCCCGGAACACCGGCTTAGTACCACTATTCACTTCAAAGAGGCTGTCAAAGAAATTCCAATCTTTAGAAGAGCTGTGAAGAATGGAGGGGGTCTTTGGATCACCGATCCACGACGCGCACTCAATTTTGGCACGGCGCTAGAATATGAAAAGTCTACAAGCATTTCAGCTGGGTCCAAACAAAAAGGAACTTTTTACAAATATCGGAAAGGGGCTGCTGCCAATTTAAGTACGAACAGATTCAACACGAATTTTCTCACTTTTCTCTGACCGTTATGCACTAACATTGCCACTGTAGGGCATCTGGATGAACATTCACGGAACGTCATAATGGGACATCAGCGGAGCGGTACATTTGCCTACTATGTCTCTGTCAGAGATGATACTCAATCTGCCTTTATGGAGACCCCTGCTAGAGATGCCCTACTCAAGCTTGCCTGCAACTCAAGCCTAACACGGGATGCATCCGCACCTCAGCATCTCACAGAGCCACAGAGGAGGTCCCTTGAAAAAGACAAGGAGCTCGATCAATTGAAACGAGAGTGTCAAGCACTTCGGAATGACCTAATTGCTGAATTCCATCAACTAAATAAAGCAAAATGTGCTGATGCTGGACGATATAACGCATTTCTCATCCTTCAAAGGAGAGTCAAGGCTCGAAGGAAGAAAATTCATGACGAGGCGAAGGAAAGAGTCCGCAACGAGTTTTTTGAGAACATTGGGAACCACATTATCGACCAAAACTACCAGGGAACATCTGTGAAATTCCAACCGGACACGTCACATATACAGCCGGAAAGGAAACAGCTCGCAGAACTTGAATTCAAGAACAGAGATGTTGACAACATTGATGATGCAGAGTTGATTGAAGACCGGATCCGGTCACTAGAGCTACGACTACGACTTCACGGACTCCATGTACCGAAGTCCTTGCGAAAGCGAGTAAAATTTGAGTCCATGCCGGCTATCAAGACTGAACCGCAACCATTCCCAATGAAGAGCGTCACCGGCCTTGAATGTCCAGTATGCTTAGGGGTAACCGATATACATCCCACGGCAAAGCAATTTCGATATTCCCGGAAGAACGGACTGCAAAAGCATTTTAGGACCCATAAGCTTCCACAAATGTTTCCGAATGGTCGTCAGTGCGATATTCCTGGCTGTTCTGAAGTGCTGTTTAGACTTCCAGAGTACATGCTGCACCAAGCGGAGTGCCACAAAATCATCCTTTAGCAGATCGGCGCAGCTCTCGTTGTGTTCTATCGTCATTTAAATGAGGCCGGGTTTAAATACAGCCAGAGCATAATAATGACTTGATGTCTATTGAATATTTCATGAATGTGATTTGTCTTTGCCATATCAACACCAGCTAGCTTCAGGATTACCGGCGCTACAACTCACGCCGTGCACTTCTCAGAATGTCAGGTCATAAGTGTAGGATTATAGTTTGGGATCTTGAAATTATCCTATTTGCCCTGACGCATACTAATCCGTACTGTTTTGGCTTGCTCCGATAAATCCCAATAGGAACCGCACTGCAGCGTGATCAACTATCACTGGAACAAAACGACTTAGTGGAGAAGATACTCGAGTCGCCATATGACGAACCCGGGGTTTGGATCGCTCCTGAAAATCTGGACTAATGACAGTACGTCAAAAGCGCCTTCGTCACCAGGGATGACGATTTCATCAGCCACTCAAAAATGAATACCGCTGGAAAACAATGTATCGCCATATTCGCCGGGAAACTTGCCTAGTGGCAGTAGTCAACCTAGCATAACAGGGTCACCTTTCATCCTGACCAGAGAGCTTCATCGCCGGCCAACAGTCTCAGGTTTCCGCGATGGATACGTCTGAACCAACTCAAAGCTGGATATTGCTTGGCATCCAAGAAGGACCTTGACACACCGGCCCAAATCTTGGTCAACGACCAAAGCACCGACTGCATGTCTTCCAAGAACTCAAGAAATGCTATAGGACCCACAGAGGCCGATTGAGATTGTGATTCTCTATCTGGCGCTTAGAATATTGCCAAGCGGTAAGGTATACCCGCCGCCACCATTTACTGTACGCCAAGCACTGACACCCATTAGTTCATCAGGTTGACACGAGAATGCATGTTTCGCGAACACAGAGACCTTCCCACTCACAAGGACTACCAATATGCACCTCGTGCTGGAGATCCAGATGCCGGGGATACCCCAATTTCACCCCATTTGTTTCAGGCTCTGTTTAACACTTGTCATTTTTCCCTGCACTTGGTTGCTCCCCCATGACTGCCTGCCACCACCAACTGGTGACGTGCAACTAGACCGCGTCCCAAAGCGGAGGAGGTGGTTTGAGAAGGACAAGTCGTCACCAATATGGGGGCTTGAGACTGTTTTTGCCGTTTTGTTTGTCTACGTCTTTATCTATCATCTTGTCATGGTTGCAGGGCCGTTCGCATTTTTTGCATGGTGGCTCAACTCTCACCCAGCTCCAGAACGCCTCTATTCCCCTAGGCATCATCCTGTTAGACCTCGACTGCAATGGATTGATCCAATAGATAGACTACGCCAGCAGCTCTAGCCTCCGCTAATGCAAGCAGATAATATCACTAGTTTTCAGGGCGCTAAATGATAGGCCATTAGCGTACCAAGCAGGCCAGTGTAGCACTCAGCCTCACTCATTATTACTGCAAATGGTGTCCCAATATTGGTAGGCCTAGGAAAGTGCTGCTTGTAAGCGCCCACAGCAAACATCCAGCGGCCCCCAAAGTGTGTCTTTCTGACTAGAGCCCATGGCTGCGGGATATTACTAAATTAGACTTGTCTCTGTCATACCATAGTGGGATAGACTAAGAACGAATCCCGAATCCAGCTAGTCCGAATATAGGATAGGCGGCCCCATACGACAAGTGATAAGGCTACCTTTCTAACGGACAGTGATACACACCACAGTCACGTCCTCCGTTTCTCGCCCATATGAATCAACTCCATTTTTGTTGGCGGAAGAAAAAAGTGTTATCCTATCATTCTAGAAGCATATCGGACAGCATCGTGCTCTTTCCTCCTCATCATGATATCCCTCAGTGGCCTCGACAGCCCTGACTTCTATACGATCGCCTGGATCGCAGCTCTTCCCATCGAGCGTGCCGCTGCAGAAGCGATGCTCGATGAGGAACATGCAACTCCGACCGGATTCACTCGACACCAAACCGACGCCAACGTTTATACGTGGGGCCGTGTGGGGGAGCACAACATCGTTATTGCATCTCTGGCTTCCGGAGTCTACGGAACCACCTCGGCTGCGACCACAGCCTCAAGTCTGCTTGCCTCTCTGCCATCTATCCGTGTTGGTCTTTTGGTCGGCATAGGTGGCGGCATTGCTCGTCCGGATGATGGCCACGATATCCGGCTAGGTGATATTGTTGTGAGCCAGCCTTGTGGGACCACAGGTGGCGTCTGCCAGTACGACTTATTTAAGGCAAAGTCTGGTGATAAGCGTGAGCGTAAAGGTTTCCTTAGACCGCCCCCGACAGTACTTCTCAATTCGCTCGCCAAATTGCAGGCAGTTCACGAGCGAAACGACTCTATGGTTCCTTCCTTTCTTCAAGAGATGCTTAAGAGGAACCCAAAGATGGGCAAGAGATCCAGACAGAATCCTGGATATATTCACCAAGGCTTCGACAACGACCGCCTGTTTAAATCTTTATGCGACCACGTCCCCGGCCCGGACTGTAGGGGCTGTGACACGGCTGATGAGGTTCAACGCGATCCTCGAGACACTATCGACCCCGAAATCCACTACGGGACCATCGTATCCGGCAACACACTTGTCAAAGATGCCGCTGCGCGCCATCGGATTATTGCTGACCTTGACGAGGATTGCATCTGCTTTGAGATGGAAGCTGCCGGCCTGATGAACCACTTTCCCTGTCTTGTGATCCGAGGGATTTGTGACTACGCCGATTCTCACAAGAACGATAGATGGCAACGCTACGCCTCAGCGACCGCTGCTGCTTATACCAAGGAACTTCTGTCATACCTACCAACCGACGAGGTCCAGGAGACCAAGAGGGCAATAGAAGTGCTTCAATTGGGTTAGTTCTTTTCCGCTCATTAGATACACTAGAAAATACACAAGACCAAATAATACACGAGTCTAGCACACATCCTAATAGCAAGTAGTACAACAACAGATTGATGGCATACAGCAGACGACAATCGCAACGAAGGCGGCAACTGATGCCATCAGTTTCGACATTCGTACCGATAATATCAGGCGCTGGCTTTGTCCCCCGGATCCGTCAACAAACGCCAATCACGCAAGGACCCTCCGCCATGAGGGGACGGGTGCGTGGCTCCTCATGGTAGAATTTAGTATGGTAGTTACCGAGAAAATAGAGATGGGGAAGAAAGCAAGGGAAGAACAGCTCTTTTATTGTCGAGGTAAACCTATGACACGTGATTCAAGGCTTTTTCCGAGTTGGACAGACCCCAATCTCAGACTGCCAAAGCTCCAGCAGGATCACATTCAGACGAGGCCTGCCAGCCAATCGTTCCATGTTCGATGCACAAAGCAGGGGTCTAATGCGCAAATGACTACCCTGCTCACCGATCTGATCCAATAAACATCCCACAAAAATATGTTGCTATTCTGGATAATGGCACATCGACGTATTCTCTGCGCCCAGTAGGTTTGTTGAGCTCTGCTTTCCAACCGTTCCATACTCAAGAAAGCGAACGAAACGCTCCCTCCTTATCTCCAATTCGCATGATGCAACTACTGCAGATCGTGAAACACGCTCTCATCCGTTCAACTTCACATCTATAACAATCGATCATGAAGCCGACGAGGGGCGAGGCGATAAGGTGCACTTGGCGGCCATTTTCGGATTCCTAGCACTGGTCATATCAAGGTCTCTCCTTTCGCGGCGTGTCAGACTTTTTGACGCCCCAATGTGGAAGCGGAGGGGGTGGCTTTGGCCGGATTCCACTTTTGCCTGATTCCTGATATGAAGCAATGTGATAAGGCAAAGGACGGTGCTGCAAGGCTCCTGTAGATGGATCACTTTGTCTCGCAGCATTTTCTCTTGGGCTACGTATAGACATATGCGATTCCGTCGGTAGACTGCTTGGTTGTGGCTGTGGAAGGGATGTGGCGTGGTGCCCGTCTTGCCCGCCAACTGGAGCGCAAAGGCTCTGCCCATGGTGATCGACAGAATACGTTCGACCACAATTATTAGGGCTATTTGTGTATGTCGTAAAAGGTTGTAGGTGTTGAGACGATGATGAGCTCGGATAAACTGGCGTAATGAACTGGCCCTGTCGTAGAAATGGGTCCGATGGAAACCTTCGATTCACTAGACTTCGCGGAGGCTGGAGCTGGTGTTGGCTATCCCCGAATTCTGGTTGACTATCCGGATGCTTTCGGGGCAGCTGCGATGATAGCAAAAGGTCGAAAGAGAAAATAAAATCATCATACAGGACCTGTTGACGAATTTGATCCTGATACCTGACATGAATTGTTTCCAACACCTTCTTATCGTTCGGGCTCCGGAGGAATGCGAGGAGCTCTGGGGAAGGTTCGCGAGACGAGGCATCAAAATACCAAACTATCAGGGATAGCTTAAGACGAGTAGCATAACTGAGACTTAGCACGATTTCCCTCGAATAACTGCCCACAAGCATGGTGTAGAGATTAAGAGCGTAATTTTCCAGCCCGGTGCAGCTCGGTGGCTGCTGCAGCCCGCTCTGTAACTCCTGGCACTTGTCGATAATTAATCTAGCATCTTGACTGAGAGGATTCTGGCTATGGATAGCAAGAGTTCGAAGATCGTCCCTCAGATACAACAACGCTTTGACAGCTATCATTGCAGGCAGCTGTAGAGTCTCATCAGGTAGAGGAGCAGCCTTGCTATATTAGAACGTAGTTACAATTCAAGAGGCTTTCACTCACTGTACGAGATCTTGGTGCAATGGACATTTGGCCTGGAATGATATCTGCTCAATGACACGAAATACGTGGCAGCGATGTCCACGCAATGCTCCTTTGTCAGCCGATCCGAAGCTTCTGGACTTTTTTTGCGATTGATAACGTCTTGGACTTGCGAGGACGAAAGTTATTGCTATCAAACTGATGTTGTATCCACGAAATATCATCACAAGGGGGAAGGGGGCGCCATTTAATTGAGAGCTCGGGTTATGGTTTGCCAGTTCCCGAAGTGGCATAGCTCAAAATGCATACCCTACAGCATGAAATTGTATTGACCACACGTCCCGACATCTTACATTAGTTCTCTGGGTCTGACCGAATCAGTAACATGCTTCTACCATATATTTCCATTGTGAACGTGAGCACGGTCAGGCCAGAATTGATTGCTTCCGAAGACAGATGTGAATCTCAGGAAGGTGACCAAATAACCCCTCCAGTGCCCACCTAGATTATTCCCAATCCCCTGACCTTCAGATCCTCTCATGCTCTTAAGATACCATCCGCCTGGCCCAACGGCTAGACCAAATAGATGAAGTTTGGTGTGACGCCTGATCGTCAGCTGCATTAGCGGTAATGTAGCGGCTTGGGACTGAGCCTTGACATACGAATAGCCATTTCTCAAAGGAGCTTAGCTCAAAATGCATACCCTACAGTAAGAAATAGCCACGGCCACAAGCCCTGACGCCGTGCGTTATTTGTCACTACATTCCGGTATCCTCGACCCTACCAAATCAATAACGTGCTTCTACCATACTGGTTTCTCAAACCTGTTTTTTTATCGCTCGTTTCAAGACCTGGTTTTGCAAGGAGTGTATGGTATAACAATGCCACTAACAGAAAGAAGGCTTGAATGCTGTAATCGCGTCGAAACTTCCAGTGACTCTTTCAATGTCCTGAGCTTTAACCCACTTTTTCTTCCTTTTCCCATGACACTCTATCTCGACACAGAGTTCTGCCGTTCTTATCCCGTTATTCGGATAGTGAATTACCAACACTTTGTTTACCCGCATATGATCTTCATCGACGTAGCCTGTCTCTTTTGTGTCTTTCCGAGCGGACATCCCATCATTTGGGTGACGGTACAAAGTTGTTTCCCGGCTGAAGGAGCGGTCAGGACAAAGTCCCATATCTTTTGCATGCGCTGCGAGAGGCGGATCGAGGTCCTCGTTGGGAGTCTTAGATTTAAATTTTAGTTTTGTCCTGCTAGAAGGAGTTTGAGTTTGAGCGTACCTCTGTGCGCCCGATGCAGGCGGAAAATAGCCCCAACAGATTAGAAACTGCTGTTGACCCGATCACAAAAGCGTTGGCCATGGTCGATGGGACAATGGTTGAACGTGAATCTTGAGAGATGGATTCAGGAGATGGATAGACACCCGGCTTATATAGTCACACTCTCCCACAAGAGCATAAGTTCAGGGGCATTTATCTGCTATGCCTGAAATAAGGTCATTGGGAACGCATTCTATTCTATACTCTTTTGGGCAACTTCCCAGTTTCTGAGTCAGCGACACGTTGTCTTGGGCCACATAAGGGGTTCGACCTTCCATTTCACATATCAATAATGCCTGCTCGTCAGAATCCTCTTATCACAGCAGAGAGTCTATTTCATGACCTCTCGACTCAACTAGAGCGATATCTAAGATTTCTCGAAATCGACCTCACTCCAGTCATCTTGCAGAGCAAGCTGGACTGTGACGACCCCAGTGCAGTGGATTTGATTTCTCACGGGGTGAGCTCACGCTTATGGATACTACGACTGCAATCCATATTTGAATGGACGAACCTGACTTCTCAGGAAGAGGCATGGCTTCAGTCGCAAAGGCTAGAGCTAGCCCTCCCCGGTAGTCATGTCCGCGGTGTCTGGTCAATGCCGACTTTTCTCCGCAACGAAGGGCGGTCGAAGGATCACAATGCCTCGAGTAATCTGCGGCAAGGCAGGAAAATACGAAGGTTTGAGAAGGAACTCGGTGCGGGCATTGCGCTTCTGTTGGCTATAGTCCTGCCCAGTTTCCGACGTTTACCTCTTAGTGAGGAAGCCAAAACCATACAGCTTCTAAGAACCAACTATGCCAATATCATCCAAAGCCTCTTGGCCTTAAGGCTAAGGTATCAAGCGGTATATATGCATTGGTGGGCAATCTCTGCTTTATTGTGCTTCTCATGACTAACGCGCCCAGTACTAGCTCTCACGTCCGAAGCCTCTGATGCAGGCCTTCCCGGTCCGGGCGCTATATCCTCATGAACGGAAAAACCTCAGGGCCGAGCATGTCAGAGCCCATCGGCTCACCACAGTTCCCCTGCCAGACGAAAGAGCCTCTTGCAGGCATCTCTATCTCCATCCTGACTGAACCTTTCACGAAGAGAATATTATTTGGCAGCAGTTTCCGCACCACCGGCTGTGTCCCTAGCGCTGCTAGTTCCTCTTTGGATAAATCGTGGGAAGAGGGGTAGAGCTTGAACGACACTCTAGTATTACCATCGTTTGAAAGGTCGCGAAAAACAGAGACGCCATCACGAGATGGATGCGCAAGTCCGGAGCCCCAGCAATGGCTTTCTCTAGAGAGAACGACAACAGGTCCTTGACGAAGAGGTCTCGGAGGAAACAAAATGCCGACATTACCAATGGCCTCTTTAATTTTCTCCGAGAACTTCGGCTTGGTCAGCTTTGTTCAAAATGCCAGATCAGCGGACCTACCGTATCTTCAGCCCCGCAACGCAAAAACCGTTCACAGGCTTCCAGATTTCCCCTCCCATACAGAAGTGGGCCTCGTTCTATTCTTGGATTCGAATTCAGAGACTGTTTCACTTCGGTGATGGCATTGCTAAGGGAGAAAGAAGAAGAAGCCGAAAACACGACATAGCCGGTGATCTCCATTGTTCGCGACCGCTGGTATTCCTCGCATGTTGGAGGTCCGCCCTGCGCTGTTGTCATATTTGCGGTACTGTACTTTGCCCAAGTAGTCTAGCTTGATTAAGCAAAGTCACGTATTGGAAGGCCTAGGAGAGGGGAAGAGATGCGGAGCTTCTTATACCCAATCGTGATTGTTAATCCAGCCAACTCATCTATAGCTGACCTGTATTATTGACAAAATTCGCTTCCGTAAAAGGCATTGTCTGGAGAGCATATCTAGAAAATATGCTCTCACTGAACCATACTTCAATTCAGCCTGATGAAATAGCCCAACCGAGCCAAGCAAGGTCCTTGTCGGTATATCCTAAGACAGCACTAGGGGATTGTTCTAGGTTTTGACTGGACCCCGATACAGAGTTCATGGTTTACCGGCAACTTAATTGCCCCTGCACCAATAGGAAGCTGCGTCGAAGGCACTAGCTGGTAATAACAATCTTATATAAATTCTTGAACAATATACGGACATTCCACGCTGCCTTTCGGGCCCTTCACGCACATTGAAATAGTACACTGGTTTTTGCTATCATTACAACTTCCAACGTAGACAATTCCTTTTCCTTCTTCTATCGGCTTATATTTTTCCCTATCTAGCAATTGTCAATCAACAGTCTCTAAGTGGTTTCAGTTGAACTTACTACCTTGGCTATTTGCAGGGAGTTCAAGTCTTGTCGCCTTGAGATCGGAGTAATTATGCAGCTCGCGGGGCCAATTCTTGCCTCCTTGAAAATATAGATTGGCATTTTGTTTCCGCTCCTGAAGCATATCCTGCCGGATACTTCCTTCACAGGAATATTTGTCTTCTTCTGCAATCATAGTTCGACGAACTACAGATGGAGAGTTGTCGAACGTTTGGCCTTTTTCTTTAGATTTTAAAAGCGACAAAGTGAGGAGTAACTTTGGGTGTGATGGCGAATCGGGAGCTTTACGTTCAAAAAGTGTTGTAATGACTTCAGGATGAGACTTCGGGTCGATGCCTTCCTCGTCCTCAGTTTCCCAATCCGCAATTGCTGGATCCCCAATGCTCTGTTGCTCGGTGTTGGAGAATGGGGCATCTCGAGAGGCCAATATACCATTCATAATTTAAGGTCGTTGTCAATTTGCCGGTGCGCTGAATAGGAAACACGGGGAGGGAAATTGCTGCTATATAATTCGTATGGACTGAGACTAGTGGTTCGCAGTCGTATATTCTAGGGAGAAGACGAAAGTCACCTGGTAAATACTAAAGAAATGTGATAATTAGTAGCTTCTAAGGATCTTTGGTTTATTTAAATATTCAGCTCATAACATACAGCACTCTAGTTTCCTCTTCACAGTTCTAGCCCCCGGTTCCGATACATCCATCAATTCCTGGTCAGAACAATTAGTCAATGCTTTATTTTTACTAAAGTCGTATCGGGATCAAACCTATGACTTATTCTTTAGAATATCATCAATCGCGTTAACTTGCTGAGTGAGACTTTTGGAATGATCGGCCCTGTCATGCATTGCAGCGGCGTGATAGGGGGCGTGGCTTAGGGGTGTAAAAAAAAACCGGTGGATGCTGTACGATTTTGTTACTGGGATGGATTTTAGGTTTTCATTTGTAAGACTGCTCTTGTTGGCGTTTGTGACGGGAGACTCTCTAGGCATGGTGGATGGCAGAGTTGAAGAGAAATGACAAAACCGACGAAATAAACAAAAAAATATGCCGTCAGTAGCACACTGGGTTATGACATCGAGACTTTATAGCTAACAGATGGAAGGAAAATTGAACCATTTGAAAATTTCATACTATCAGCTCCTACGGGGCAGGAGACACCACATCTCACCCGGGTAATCTACTCAAGTTCTACCGGTTGGAAGATCTTTTCTGTTCTCAGAATAGGATACTCTACTCGCCATTTCAGACACATTGGGCATACCGCAGTGGAATGGGGTATTTGAACATCCCTCATATCCACCACGTTAGCAGATATAGCATGATGCAACATTGTTTGGTGATCATCCCAGGGCCTGACCGGACCCGTTTACTGATGGATTGTTGTCAACTTGATAGCCCCTGCATCAGTAGGAAGCTGCGTCACACGGCAAAGTGCTTAGATGAACCCAGAGAGTATGGTCTGTAATAGAAATAGTTGTGATAAAAAAACAGTATGGTCAAAGAATCTATCAGTCTGTTCCGAATCTGAATCTATACTCGTATCAGGACTATTGTGCCCATCAAGGGCCCGGCAGAATTTCCTCGGTGGGTTCAAGGTGGAACTACCACTACGCGTATAGAATTACTCCTTTCTGATATGGTGAGTATCTGTTGGGAAGAGTAAGACAGATGATACTCACCAATAAATCCCTCTCTATGAGGTCGCCCAAGTCGTTTGCATTTGGCTTATATCGCAGTAGGAATTCTTTGGTGGTAGCTGAGGCTCAACGTTTGAGTGCGTGCTGAGACCATTGCTTGCGGAGATGGCTGTCGGCATGGACAACTGGGACTGCAGACTAAGTTCACAGCGGTTTGTTGTCGAGATAGAAGGCGTTTGGTGTCCCATAGAAGTTTCTCTGTGGGTTTGTGGCGGGGTCTGCGGTTGGAATTGAGGGGATTGTGGGTACTGCTGTTCCGGATATTGCAGTGGGGTATAGGGTATGGATGCAACGTTGCTACATTGAAGTTAGGGAAAAAAAAACAAGAACAAGAAAATGTGAACACGAACATTATTCTTGTCAAAATAGGAACAGCCTTGCTGCAGAAAATGCTGCGCACCGAGAGTGTTGCGAAAATTCCAAGCCCTTTAATGACAACTTCCTTAGTTCTGTCGAACTCTGACGCACTATTTGAGTGGTGCAATAGAACAGATAAGACAACAAGGGCATGAAAAGCGTAGAAACTGCCTAATCCACTGGTCCACCACATATGTGGGATGAACTGGGGATCCCCAACAAGGTCGAAGAAGATGGAAAGAGCTGTGTTGGCTGAAGCGATGCACTTCTCACGGGCTGCGTATGTCTCTGGATTTTTTTCGCCACATAGAAAGCGAATGAGAGTTGGTCGATGTAATAGTAGAAGTTGTTGTTGAATCTGGGCATGAAGAGTTTTTTTATTGGCGTGGTGGTGAATGGGGAGGTATTCTTGGGTGTAGCGGGCATCGCAGTGATCACGGACAGCTTCAAGTTCGGCCTCAAGGGTAGCGAGACAGTACCTCGAGCGCATGCTGGAGAATACAAACTCGCAGATACGATCAGACATACGGTTCAGATGGCAGGCGAGGAAAAGATAGGTCATCTGAGTCAAGGGGGCGTTGCAGGGCGAGAAAAATCCATCAGAGGACAGAGGGATACTTGTGGTCGTGAACAGGTCGGCATCGTCCATATCAGCGGGCAAAATCATGTCCTTTGTGCAGTTTTGTGAAGTTAAGATACCAAACAAATTGTTCTGGACGGTTTTGACTATCATAAGCCCAGCCCAAACGCGGCGGCGCTCTTCACATTCGATAGGGCTGAGGAGAAACCTCTCTGGATGGATGTGACAGCCCATAGAAATAGCAACATGATAAGTGAGCCCAGTTAGTGCCGAGCAGAAGAGGCCGCGATGTAAGCAGGCGAAATTGATGAGAACTAGCGCTTGAAGGGAGTTGACGGTGTGACGGGTCATTATTCGGTCCATAGCGAGACACCGAAGGGCGGCGGAACGGTAACGTGCAAAAAGCACCTTTTTATTACGGCTCACAGTGCTTTCGCGGCCCAGATCAGAGAGAAGAGTGTCGGCATCATCCATAGCGCTGACGGATGTTGCTAGTATAGCAAAGAGTAAAGCTAGCCAAGACGGTGACGCGGTCTGGTGGTCAGATGAAAACAGCTGATATTCGGCATTGAAGGTCATCTCATGAAGAATATGAAACGTCTAAGATTGATCAGTATGATGGAGAAACCTTCCAATCCAGCTTTTATGGAGAACGAATATAGGCGGCTGTTGAGGGGACTTACTGGTGAGATTACCCGGAAGTATAGGTCTTTGAGAGTATCGCAGTACAACACCGGAGGGAGTAGGCCCAGGAGCTCCGAGCGCGGGGCTTCTCCGTTCCATATCAAGGAAAGTGGTGGATCATCCTCGACATCAATATCCAGAATGAAGCTTTGCAAATGCTCTGTTGCAGGACTGTTCGCAACGATCGACTCCCACGCGGTCAGCGAAATATAGCGTACATAGCCAGATTGTGCCGTATGCAGTGCTCCGGCACTGTTTCGCGTTGAAAGAAAGTTTCTTTCAGGAATAAGAAAAGACGAGGCTGCGGAGGATTCAGGTGCTATTGGAGGGAATATGGCACTGTTAAGAACGGAGCTTGCGTGGGAGTCTGCCTGTTCCTGGAGTTGGGTCTCCAAATCTTGGATGCGAGAGAGGAGCTTCATCTGAAAGACATGACTGGGAGAGGGTGATTGTTTTGGTGCAAGCCGTGGCTGTGCAAGATAAATGCAGTCTTCTGCACCGAGGCCACGGTGTTTGCATGCCTGACAAGGACGACCGTCTCGGGAGCAGCGTATCTTTCTAACTCGGCATGGTTGACAATTGATGGGGCGACGTCTCATCTCTGTCGAACAGATTGAGGAACTCATGAAAGGTTGAAGGAATCGAAGTATAGGTGTTGACAGAACTGGCGTGCCTTTATGGAACTCCAATGCACTCACAGACCATGGAACATCGGCAGCTACCAGAGGAGTGATTGCACTAACACTATCAATAAATTAACGATGAGCCCGGTGGTCTTATAGCTTTAATAAGTTTATCTCTCCGCGGTTCTTGCATGGGTCAGAGACAGTGAAAACTAAAACCAAATCCACTGCTGCGGCAGTTGGTCGATGAAGACTTTATAGTTCATTGGCCAGGCTTCACTGGATTAGGTACCGTGCTTGCCAGCCGTTCAATCGCTTGGGCGAAAAAAATCCGGGAAAGCCACTAGGAAAAGACTAAAACGCACTACCACACACCACCCAACCCCTCCTCCTCCCGGAGCCACACGATGCCTCTAGAACTTAGCCCCCTTGCCAATCAATCGTGGATGAACGTGGGCTAATGCGGCAAGGCGCGCCCACCCGTAGCGTCACCAACCTTTTTCGGCTCCCTCGCGTTCTCGATGTCGATTGTTATATATATTTACAGCGAGGGATTTACTGTAAGGAGTTCATTTCCCACAAAGTGAGTTTACTTTTCGGATTTCATAAGCCTAACACTGTCGGACGGGACAGGAATCACAGTGCACTCGCTGATTGTTGATATACATCTGTTTTGACACCCTTGGCCATATGGACTCTCCACATTCAATAAGCCTTAGCATAATTTGAGATAATCCATCCCCATGGGGGTGTAATTCGCAAGTTCTCAGTTCGCTACTAGTTCAGCTCTGGAGGTGAGTGAGGCTCTTCGTAGCGAATACTCTGCGTAAGCTCAGTCACACTGCCTCGCACGCATACAACTTCCGGACCCGGAAAGCGAACTTTAATCTCCCAAGTGCCAGGAACCACATTCTCAAGGTCCACTAAACGGCCTCCATCTTTCACGCTTGAATAGGGTTGTTGAACTCCTAAGAGTGAGATATTTCGGGAAAATGCAATAGCGAGCCGGATAAAGCGGCCCTCATCAGTATCAAAGACGCCAAATGAGCAAAGTCTTGTCTGCATGATGCGTAAGAGAAAGTCAAGCTCTTCTGAGCGGATGACAATAGCGGTTGATATCTTGTGAATCACGATGAAAACCTGCTCGGGTGCAAATCCAGATTTCTCTGAACCAAAAAGGGCTTGGCATTGCGAAAGGACATGGTTTTGGGGATAAACGACATATTTGTTTTGGTCTTCCTGCAGCCTGAATACACGCACACTCAATTCACCCACTAAGACTATCAGCAGAAGCAAGTAATAACTAAAATGATATGCATACCTTGGAGAGGTATTCCCTCGCGCCTATTCTTTCGGAATTGTCGCGACGCTATGGCATTAGCCTGGCGTCGCTTGGCTTCACTTGAGGAACCAGATTTGCAGTCGATTTCGTATGGAATCAATATCTTTTCAGTCGGTGATAGCCGCTGTGTTGGAGACGGTGCAGCTGGATGAGAGGGGTGAAGTAAGCTTTGGATGTTCATGGCTGTTTAGCACCGCGGCGAATGATTTGAGTGATACAGTAGATTAAGCCCAAAAGCTGGCGTAATAGGGGACCGGGGCTGGTTAAATATTCGAGTCACTCGAGCTCTTCAATCTAATCCTAAGCTTGGAAGATTTTCTCGCTCGAGTTTCATATTCGAGCTGGGTTTTGCTTGGTCAGTGGCCGCAACTCCTGGTGTTGAATTCCATAAATTGAAGAAAATCAAGAATATCTGTTGCATCTTACTAAAATCCTCTCCACTATTCAGCCTTGGCTGACAATTGCTATTACGTCGATCTCTTATGAAAGAGGAATCCAAATATCTCATTGTTTTCACAATGGTTGTGCCTCATAGGGCTACTACTCACTGGGACATGATCCCTCCTACACTGCACATACTCTTACTGGCTACTACCTCTTAGCTTCATTCAATTGCATCCGAGCACGATATCTACACAATATCTAACTTAGATTAATATCACGCCTTAGAACCAAATATTCGTCTCTTTCAATGCCGTATTTCCGCCGTAAATTGTGCCACTCTTCGTCCCCTAGAAGATTTTTTGCACGCCAAATCTTGGTGTGAAGTCTCAGCAGGTGGGGTTCTGATGACGCTTTTCCATGAATAAAAGGACCGCCATACACGTAGCCTTCTGTGCCACTGCTGTATTTGACATAGAACCTGATGAGGACGGTTCGGGGATCCCAGATTGGGACTACATGATCATATATCTTGAATTCATCGATTTCGCTGAGAACGTCCACGCTCAAGACTGTTCTCTGCGGCTGAGCCATTGGTCTGCATTGGTCAGCGCTTCCATAAATCCACATTGAATTACCATACATTACTTACAAGGTCCAATTCTCCAAAGATTAATTCCTTCACTAGGTCCTGTGAGATTGGGATAGCCAATTGGCTCGCGCTGGATTTGCAATTCACTTATACGTGGCCTGGTGAATATACTTGGTTGGAGCTCAAGTAAAATTGGGGGAGAAAATAATTCTGGAAGGTCCATCACTCATCGAAAATCGAGCCGATTATGAGGAATCAGTCTGGCTTATATTCTCTGAAGAAAATCGCGCTTAGCATATACCAGCACATCCGTAAGGTGTATTTCAGACATTTGATACTACCGTGGACTAATAGAGAAGTAGAACGAGGAATCCCTCTACTCAGGGGCCGCAGAAAATTTGATGATGCTGAAGAATTCTTTGAGTCCGGGACGATCACTTGGTTTGTTAATTTATTTTTCAGTCTCAGCACGTGTGAGCGTTTCTATTTGTCGCTTTCATCTCGTCCCAACCGGATGGAGAATAGCGTGTTAAAGAAGGTAATAATGACCGGGCTCACTTTGGAAGTAGTTATCGGAGCGAGGTAGTAGGGAAAGAACCCATGGGGGGCTTTACACGACTTGTTTTGGAATTATGCGAAGATACAATGGAGCTGATATTCAGCAACGACCTGAATTCAGCGAGTGCCCCTATTGTGAATTAGTTGAAGAAACCGTTTGGAACAGTCTCTGCCAGTTTTCTTTGACTACGGGGAAGTGTAAGATGGCAATAAGAATGCGTCCTACAAAAAATACCCGGCGAAACCTCAGGGGCAGGTCACCTTATCTACATAGGAGATGCTCGAGGAGGAGTATGCGAGTCATATCCCTTGTCATTCTCCCGGAATATGGCATCAAGCTTTGGATGTCACTTCAAGGCTGAATAAAATTGAGCAGCATCATGCCGTAGTCGCAATTGCGGCACCACATCAAGAGACTCTCATTGCCTATTGGTGCTGAAATATTTATGCGTGTGTCATATCGCTTAGGGATGGTAGCCATGTTTAGACAGATCTTGTGGGTTGGTCTTCAACTGTACATTCAATTATGCATCAAAAAGTGCTTTGTGGGCTCTGGAAGGGCTCGGAATGACGATTGTACTTATGGAGATGCTGCCCATATATAGGAAAGGAAATACAATCACGTGTCCATCTGGGACCGAGTAAGTATACCTACCCACATCATACGGGGTGCAAGACCATGCACAGAATAGCCACTTAAATCATGTCCAATTACTGCAGAATACTCCAATATATCACTTAGCGGCACCTTTACAATTTCTCACTCTCCAGCCCTTTCCAGTGGTCGGGTTGCAAACCTACCTGGATTGAATTTTGACCTTTCGACGATGGGCAGCAATTGTCACGTGACTTACCGAACTGCCCCTCCTACCCCACGATCATCGATGTCGTTCGATAGTCATCCGTGATTTTGTCTGCAATCTATCACTCACTCCAAATCTTTCACTTTGAAGTCCGACGTACGCATCTGTGCGTGAGGCTCACATCACGGACTGGTGCAGCTCACTATGGCAGACACGTATCTTAGCGAAGATGCAAAGAAGTTGCTGGATGATCTTGCTCTTGCACTTCGTAGTGTCAAAACTCAAGACGATGGAAATGGTAACCTCGAATATGAGCACAAATCTGCAAAGCCGTTCGTCGAACCTATTCTCAAAACAATAGGCCTTCCTGTACGGTGATACTTTCTATGGAGCGCGACTACCTACTGATTTGATTGTTAGGACTGGAATTTCACGGTGTGGATGTGGAACACATCTTTCAAATGGCAAGAACTACCCGGGCCCGTCAATATCATTCCGATTTGCAACATAACAGAATCCGCGAGAAGCGAACCAGGGGGTGCTTTAAAATTTGGCCTAATGAGGCGAATCGATGGAAAAGTTACTGTTGAGCCCCGACTTACGGCAATTTTTGCGGTCCCACCTATTGCAAGGTACGTAGATGCGCGAGCTCGCGGGTGATTCTTTTCGTCGCTAACAATTTCCTAAGGTGATACATCGCATATAAATCCATGGTCGGGATCCTCCTGTATCAGATTTTCTTGCCCTTCTTGCTATTTATTGTCTTTACATTTCATGCAGATAGCTTCCACAACTAGTTCCACACTTATTTTTCTCCTGGTTCTATTAGGCTATTGCTTATCGAACCTCCCTCTCCACCTTGGTCACAAATGGTCTGCACTAGCGGAAAGGGCGTCGCTGAATGAAAAGCGCCGTCAAACGGTACAAAATCCGCCACTGGGTTTTCATATGCGTATGTGAAAGGATTGAATTCCACCACCGGTTCGCTATATGCATGTAAGAATGGGTTGAAATCTAGGGGAGCATCATTGAAGTAATTCTCGTATATGGGAGAAACAACTAGGATGCTATATCCGAGACTGTTGCAAATATCCACAAGCCTGTATAAATTAGCGCATGCTTATTGTAAAACGGAGGCAAAGATACTTTAAATCGTTACCTGCGACTATTTTGATAAAACAGGGAATGCAGTATGGAATGAAGCCATTATCAACAATTGGTTGCGCCTGCTCCGGGGCCCCCATATCCTTCGTGAAGGCTTCATAGGTATTCTTCGTCCATGCAAACCTTCCGTATTGCTCAAGAGACCGGGGAACTGGGATTGTCAGCGTCGATGAGCTAGCTACTTTTGGGTCAGAAACACAAACATAAAAGGAAGGTTTCCCAGCTCTTGAACCCCCAGTCTTGGTCTTGCAGCTTGGATATGCAACGGTTAACCCATTTGCATCCATCTCGAAGTCGTCGGAGATTCCCTGCAGTAGTGTCGCTGACATAATGCCGCATCATCCAGTCGACAGTGGTAATCGGAGTTCCAGTGTCCAGCATGACGGCACATAGGGACACGAATATCAGTTTTTGATATTTGGCAATATGAAGAAGTAGATCTCCATGCATGCTTCTTTCCTTTGTCAACGCACCATAGTCGCATCCTCGTAAAATCAAGGTCTTTTGTTCAGATGGGTAATGTTCTGGATATACGCGAGGTTCATCGCCCAGAACAGAGGCTAACGGTCGACCACAGAGCGCTTCAATGGTATATCTATTTATTTCTGGACGGGATAACCCAAGTACGGCTTTCTTCGTGACCCAACAGGAATTTACGGTGAGATCTTGGATGAATTCTCTCAATTCCTTCATGGGTTGGGTCTCAATTATCGATGATTCTTCAAAGGGGCTCGAAATGGAGGCAACATTACAAATTTTGCTGGCACGTTTCCTGATAGGGTCATAGTAAAGAATTCTGAAATCTCCCGGTGTGGATGAGGGAGGTGACTCTGATGACTCAGATGATCGAATACTCGTTGGAGAAGCTGCCTGAAATACCGAAGATGCACTCCGATATTCACAATTCTGAGAGTCCAAAGTCACTCGAGACAAGTGTAGTTGGGAATTTGGAGAAGCTGTTGCAGGAAGCCTTGATTGTGCATCTAGGCATGGTGACGCTGAAGTCGTTTCGTTCAACACCGAGGAAGTTGTAGCCAGATTCCTGGATAGAACGATTGCAGAGTCGTAATCATTCTGGCTATGTTCCCGATTCAAAGCCGCTGAGAGTCGACCCTCAAGATAGGCAATGTACTCTTTATCACTACCTTCAAATGGGAACAAACGCTGGCAATGAGGCATAGCCGTTGTAGTCAGGGCGAAGGGGAGGGCATGGTTTGTCCCGATCTAGAAGTGCCTGAACCCCCCTTTTGTAGATTCCTGATGAGGCCCGTTATCTCCTAGAGGTAGGTTCTATTGTTGGATTGAATGTCTGAGCAATGATTCGTGGTTGGAGGGCCATTTAGTGGGGCTAGTTGGGGAGTAATTTGATTGGTGAACCGATCCTGCTTTGCCGCCCATCGCGCACATCACTCTTGCCTAATGAGGGTTTGCACATATATGTGCAAACCCCGTTTAGGAAGTTCACTTCCTGTAGAGGCACAGAGACCAAAGAGGAACAGTGGGTTTCAGGTCAAGTCAGCCTTGCGCGCGGGCCTCCCCAGCCACTATTTTGGTTGGCAGGAGGCGCTGGAGCTCCACCCAAACGCCAGGGAAAGGTGCAAAGCGAAGGGCATTTCGATTCAGTTATTTGCCGCCTGTGCGAAAGTTTGATCTGTCGATTGAGCGAACAGATGGATGATAGTCAACCTCAAAATGCGACCCTCCCCTTTTTTGGCATAATTTAACCACTTGGAGGCGTGAATGTTTGTGGCTGACCTTTTACACCACCACCGTGAATGGCCTGGAGCTCCGTATCCGGGGGAAGGGTCCACATTCCTGACCCTATTGGTTGGTGGCCACTCATATTATCCCCCACAAGGATCAGGTAGATGCTGACTAGCTTGTGTTCAATCAACTATGGGCTGGGAGACCTTGTACTTATTCAGTGCTCGTCCGTTGCAGATTGTCATGAATTCAACTAGCCACGAATACATAACGCCCCTGCTTTGCAGCAGTTTGACTCATGCACGGAAATTCGTATAGTTTCCGTAACTATGCTCTAGACCATTCTTGTCCCGATCCCATTCTGCTCGGCGGCAAATGATTGGACAGTAGCATACCAAGCAAACCAACGCTAACTTTCAGTCTCTCGATCGCAATTATAGCATATGATACCCCAGTATCGGTCGACCTTAACGTGAGAAAGATAAAGTTAACACGATTGTATAGGATCGAGCCACGCAGAACATGGTCCACTCCTACTGCAGGGAAAGAGAGGCGGCTCATGTATGCTTTAGTCGTTAATGCGGGAAACGGAGGACTCAAGCGCTCAACCCCCAAAAGTGTTCATAAATACAGCCCGCATCCCTCAGGTAGTTACTTCTATTCATTAATATCCCACCTCGAAACCAGCATTCCAAGACAATTGCATCTGCTGTTTATTTCTAACCTGTCACCTCTTTATCGAGTAAGTTGATTGTCGCTAGAGTGGAACGCTGTGGCTAACATAAATCATCGTTTGTTGGAACGTTTGTTAGATAGATCATGTGTCAGAAGCTTATTGAGACAATCGAGTATCTATGCAGGCACAGAGACGATTCACCTGGGAGGATCAGGGAACTTGATGGCTGTGGGAATTGCGGCATCATCCAGAAAACAGAGCACCTGGGCAAGACAACCAAAAGGGATCCATGCTCTGACTGTATTGCGAACGGTACCTATGTGAAGAGAAACGGAATTTGGAAAAAGACCTAGCGGGGCTACGGGGATGTGGGAGGTTGGTGAGAATTGGGTCCACTTTCATAAATCTTATCTATATTTCCTTGCTCGTCGTGGAATTTATGCTTCCAATTTGAACCCTTGCGAGTTGAATCCAAATTGCAGCAGCGACATAGATTATCTATTCATACCGAAATCCAAGAAGAGAGATCACCTGATAAACTAGGTAGTTGCCTGATGTCGGAACAGAAGCAGCAGTGGATCCCGGAGAAGGGATATTGTAAACCCGCATGTATTAGTCATTTTTATGCCCACATAAATTGCCAGATAGGGGCTTTATAGCAATTCAGACTTGTTGATATCCAATTGGTGCGCACCATGTTTTACTAAGCAGTATTTCCGTGTCCTGAGCAAATGGCTTTGCTAGCCTGAAAAGCAAGGCAACAACAAAACCTTGCTGGAACCAATTAGAAGTTACTCTAGGCGACCGCGACCCTTGCGTCGTTTCTGCTCAACCTCCTTGTTCCCTCTTATCTCCGTTCTCGTAACAGAGAAAACCTGCTTCTGGTCTTGCTCCTTAACCATCTCTTCCCACCTGGCATGTCTCATGGATATTCAACACCAATTCCCTACTGTGCATTGGATTTGGAGGGGAGGAATCTCTTTTGTTTACGAGGTCCATCCTCTAATTGTGGTCAAGGTCCCGAAATCTGGAGAGTTTGAGAGGGAGCAACTCCATAAAGAGGTAGAGATATATCGAATATTTTCACAAAATCGGCCTTGTCCGTCTATCGTGCAGTGTTTCCTCTTTTCAGACAACGGCATCTTCCTCGAGTACATGAGAGGTACGACCCCTATTGACAGCAAACAAGCTTGGCCACTAATTGCTCTAATAGACATGTCGCTTTCTTCTAGGATACAAAAAAACCATATTCGAGACCAGGAAACCATGGTGGTCACACAAGTGGAAAAGTTGGAACCTCTGCCCTTGCGAAAGGAATGGATGAACGATCTCGCCGAAGCTGTCGCTTTCCTGGAATCACTCAACCTCGCTCACGGAGACCTACGACCGGAAAACATCCTACTTGATCGCAACCGACTAAAGCTATCCGACTTTGATTGCACGGCCCAAATCGGGACAAATTACGAAGCATGTATGGCTCCATATGGCAGAATACTTAATAGCAATGAGACGGACCAAGGAGAGTGTGGAACTTTCGGTTTCCTGAGCCCTCGGACAGAGCAGTTCGCTCTCGGTTCTTTGTTCTACTTCATAAACTATGGGTTTGAAGTTTATGGGAATCGATGTCTTACTGAGGATCCATACGAGCATGGTCCAAAGGTCGTGGACTTACTACAGAACATGGAGTTTCCAAAATTGGATGGCAATCCACTGATTGACAATATCATCGACAAGTGCTGGCATAACAAATATGTCACGGTTTCACAGTTGGCCGCGCACACAAAAACGCTTTTGAATGAAAGAACTGATGCGGCAGGAAGTAACGGAGAAGGATACAGAGAGGAAGGAAACAGAGAGGAAGGAAACAGAGAGGAAGGAAACAGAGAGGAAGGAAACAGAGAGGAAGGAAACAGAGAGGAAGGAAACAGAGAGGAAGGAAACAGAGAGGAAGGAAACAGAGAGGAAGGAAACAGAGAGGAAGGAAACAGAGAGGAAGGAAACAGAGAGGAAGGAAACAGAGAGGAAGGAAACAGAGAGGAAGGAAACAGAGAGGAAGGAAACAGAGAGGAAGGAAGCAATGGAGTGACAACCCCCATCGAATCATCCTCCCTCGTCTGGTGGCGTGTGGTTATGGGCCGCGTAATTCATGGGTTATGGTATGGCCTTGGTAACTCGTGGACGTCGGTATTACGCAGCACCAACGGCGAGGTAACAATCACTGAGCGAGCTAAAGACGACAACTCTGATGACGTGGATAAAAACCTGGGGGAGGAATTTCTTTATAAAAAGGGTGTCTGCATAGACTTGGAGAGGCGTGGACTTCTTCGTCTACTTTGTTCAGGTGAGCCTGAGCAAATTGGGTTTACTTTTGACTGGTATAGACACAGTCTCTGAGATTGGGTGATTGAATATGGCGTTATAGGATTCCGTGGAAAATGAGACAAGATTCCATGCTGGGAAAGTCCTATGCTTTTCTACTCGTCAATGGGACGGTTATTCTTGGAATTTGTGTATTACCTTGATGTGGAATTTAATCGTTTAAACTGATCAATTGGTCGGCAATATAATTCATTACTTGGGCTGACTTTGGATTCCCGAAAGAGTGCTCTAATGTCCGTATTTGCCATCATTGGGTCGCAAAGAATGATTATATACAGTAACGGTTGCGACCACGTTTGAACTCTTTTGGTCAGTCGCCCTGATCGCCCTAGCCCAGAACGGACAAACACATACGTACAAACAACGAGGCTTGAAATAATACGTGGAACAGCATGATTTATGAAGATGACAGCGTGGTCGCGTTCTATCCTGCAAATGGGTAGCATGGAAGAAATCCTGACAGGTGCCCTACAGAGGGGACATTTCTTTGGCGCCTTAGGGTTCTCTGCACATGACAAGCAAAACATGTGTCCACATACAAGCGTCGCCCAACGACCTGGATGCTCGTAGCAGATCTTGCACCGTAGGTTTTCCCTCAGTTGTATGAGTATCTCTTTTCCTTTTTTGTGCTTGTTCCTTTTCAGGCGAAGTTTGTCCTGGAGCATCCGGTTTCTCTCTCGTAACATCGCGATTTCACCGTCAAATGTGGTTCGAATATTTTTCAAAGCTTCATCCTAGTGCTCAATTAGCCAACGGAAGAAGGAAGTGCTGCGAAAGCTCATACCAAAGTAGACCGCTCCTTCGTTTCTGTTCTTCTTCTTTTCCGTGATGATGTCGAGCCAGTCGTATCATCGATTGCTTCAGCGAGAGCCCTCTCATAATCTAGGTATCTGTAATCCTGCCGAGGGCCTCTTCTAGGTCGTGAAATACGTAGCTCGGGGCTTGGTATTTCATCGTCATCGACGATAATGATCGGGCTCGCCATAGTGCCACTAGTCGCCATTCTGGGGGAGAAAGCCGGTATCACCTCGCAAGATAGGATGAAAATGGAGAACTAGAAGCTGGTGCCAGTCGGGGGAAAGAGGGCCTTTATATATTTGTGACCCAGCATCGACTGAGTCAGCTCCGGGAAGTACCTGGACACTGGTGGCATCGCAATAGTCCAGTCGGTATTGCACGATTGGACGTCAGCCAGTGATGGAATAAGAGCAGGCTATAGCGTTTCATGCGCCACCCCGACAAGACGACAGTGCATATCCATATTTAGCTCGATATTACTCGGCTGACCGAGTACGCCTTGTTCAACAAGCAGGCCGAGACGGGTACGCACGGAGAAGTCTTAATCTCGGACAGCAAAAGCCCTGACACGATTGCAGCCAGGTGATATCGGTCAGCCAATCGTGCCCATGTCGGTAGGCAGTGCAGAGGACTACCGCAGAAGTGATGTGACTACCCTGCCCGTCAATATACTATTTTAAGACTGCACTGTTGAGCCCTGCTTGATGCAGCGTGCAGTATAATACTGCAAGAATGACTCGTCCACTCATCCGCTTGCTCCGATAGCCATTTTGCAAAGCACTGTCCCTATTTCTGGTGAGCCTCATATCTGCGCATCGTCTGCGTCCGGTTGCCACGGAGCTCGTATTGCCAGTCGTTCCGTAGCTCAGGACCGAAGACAAAACGCGCAGGACGCGCCGACATGGAAACAACAGCTACATCGTCGTCGCCAGTCCGCATGAAACCCTGTTTTCCCTAACCGTCCATCTCATCCTCTCCGCCAATCAATCCTAAAGTCAACGGGAGTTCGGCGACGAGGCGCACTCGGTGGCAGGGGCTAGCGGAGCTCCAGAATGTGGGTGCCGAGAGGAAAAACTGCATAAGTCGACGGGAATGAATATTTGCATACGGTCTGACGAGGTCGCCAGAAGAGGTCTTTATCTTCAGAGATCGTTCCTGTTCCTGAGTTTCGACATGGTCGATGTTTGCGGTCATCGTGGAAGGACAGAGCGTCACTGTCAACCCTCACACACTTCGCAATCACTGGCTGACACGTATAGCGGCTGGGACTATCTGGTCATTCATGTACGCTGCCAGTTCGATCTTGGTCCTTCTCGGTCCATCACCCTCTATTTGCACCCCCAAGGCACATTTGAAGCTCCGCTGCATACGGGCGATTGTCTCGAACGAGTGTAGGTGAATGCGCCTGGATGCGCGGAAGTTCGACAACGGACATGTTAGGGGCCGAAACTTCAGGTCGGCGCGGCGGACCAAGTGCAAAGCGCACACGAGGAACGGAGGGAAAGGATGAGCAGAAGGGCGAAAAGCAGCTAGAAAGTTGAAGCGGCGATGAAGGGGACTTTTTTGAAACATGTACGGCGATAGTAACACGCAGGGAGGCGCTAAACCCGAACTGGCACGCTAAACTCTTTTGTGTTATTACAAGTCGCCGGGTTATAGAGCTAACCCTCTCTGCTAACGTCATTGTACTATTAAAACAATTTTGTCAAAACAAGCAGAATCGGTTTTGGCTAGTAACCATGAGGGCCACTAGGAGAAAGAGTGTGTCTTGTAAAATATCTGCCTGGAAGGTCCCTAAATACATGTGTCACGAGGTGTGCTAACCAGAACTAGTTAGTAGCTGGCTGGACCATACAAAGTGGAGTATCTGCTTTGACAAATTTCCCAAAGTCGAGGGAAAATCCATCCAATCCTTGATCTTCTCCACGCGCCATTGGTGGCAGCGGGTACTCCCCCTCCAATACTACCATAATGCCTACCATACTGCCTACTCCACCAATGGGCTGCTCGAGCACCCCTTTGCACCCCTTTGCACCCCTTTAGATGGTATACTTTCCCTCTTCCAGCCAAGGGCACCTTCGACGTGCCCTCATACATAGTTAATCGATTTGCGCAGATTTGCTTTGTTTTAGGGCGCACACGAAATGGACTCAAGAAAGCAGGCGCGGCCTAAATTCTATTCGCATTGTAACCGGTAGCTTGTAAGTCATGCAGATATTGTTGATTCTCTGGGCGCTTGGACGACTCTTCTCCGGCCTATCATTTGCTAAGTGGATGGCGGCTAGATGATGGCCTTTATTGGTCCCGAATCACTGTCAGAATTGATAATGACTTCTGAAGGATCAATTCGAGGCAACATTCGGGTACCAATCCATTCGTGTTCGTGTATTAGCTCCAGTGGTTTGAATCATCAACGGCTAGGGGATTATTAGATAGCATGAGGCGGTGTCATGTTCACCGCCTCATGCTCCAGGTTTCGCATCGCTGCGACCACCCAGAACGGCTTCCTGCGGCCACCAAGACTCGGAAGCAGCGAGCCAACTGAAGAGAGATGGTTCTTGAGTACAAGAAGGGCATTATGAACCTAGCCATAGAGGGCGAGCGCAACAGACAGGCAAATGTGCATTTATGCAAACAAAACACTGGACAGTATTTGGTTTTGTGGACAGGACTGCCGAAACATGCCTTGCTGGTTGGCCGTGGTTGAACTTGGAGGCGCTATTTTGCTTACTTTTCTACTCCACCAGCCTTCTTTCTAGGCCGCCGATTTTATGCCACCGCCTGTCTTTCTTTCCTATGCTTTCACTCCTTAATCTTGAACACATTTATTATCTCGCAACCTAAGCCATCCTCCCTTTGATGCGAACTCAATCAACATTTACGATAGCTTCGAACGTGGGCGTTCGGATCCCTATGCTCTGATGGTCAAAATATCCGAAATGATCAGCTACAAATCTGGGTTGTTTCAATGCGTAGGTGTAACATCAAGAAAGGTTGGGCCCTTTCATTAATTACAGCGACCTCGGGTGAGGTTATTTTGTCGAAGCAAGCTGAGAGAGTATAGTAATCGCTATAGGCGAGTGAGATATAGGATAGCAAATTGGATAGGACCAAGTGGAACCAATCTTGGATGCAAAGGTTGATTGACTCAGAAATGAAGCTACTTTTTCATGAACGGTGATAGAAGCATATGAATACATGAAAAGGAGCAATATCTGTCAAGTTCGAGCTCTTCTAGCTAGTCGCTCCGATCGTCTTGGTTCAAATTGAATCCCCTCATGTGAAAGTTTGCGTTTCGCTGACTCTGCGTGGGAGCTACACGGTAGGTTCTTCCCAACAGAAGCACCTGCTTGATCTGCTGTTTCCTGAGAAATAGTGTCCGCGGTTATCGAAGGTTCACGTACGTTGTTATCAGGTGCAGGCGAATAAGGCTTGCGATCGGCTGAAGATAGTCCTTGAGAGAAGGTGAGGAAGCATTTTGGGTCTACCCCATCCGAGTGGATGATCAGAGCAATACTTCCAAAGAAGACTTCTCTTTCCTCATAATCTGAGGCTAAAGGGGGCCATATTTTATAAAGTTCAACAGAAACTTGGCCAGTGAAGCCGTGTCGCCAATTGGCCCCCTTTTCCCGTTCTGGCAAGACCGATTCCAATATCACAATCCCATCTGCCCGTGTTCGAGATGCACGGACATTAGTACCGTGATCGTCCTGGCGAGCTTTAGGGGAGAAGGTCAGAAAGAATTTTGGGTCTTCTCCTTCTATAGGGACGACCACAGCACCTCGCCCGAAAAGAAGATCGTCTTGCTTAAAATTCTCTAGACTGCAAGGTATATCCGGCGAAAAGGCTGTTCGGATGATCATTTCGTTGACTAAAAGGTTTGTTGGCCAAGTAGCCCCCTTCTGGAAGTCAGGGGCATAGAATCGCATGGTCACTCGGCCTTCTTCGCTTTGTCCTTGTAGCTGTTTGGACCTGTTTGAGTTGCTTGGTAGCGTGTTTTCTGTAAGATCATAGTGTTAGCGACTGTATTGAATAAGTACTGCACGGAGTTACTCACGAGGGGACTGAATCCCATCAAAAAAAGCCTTAGCTTGTTGACAATCGGCATTCCGACAGTGCTCCATATGATCGTGGATCGCCGCAAGTTCATCGCCAATGGCAGCAGATATGGAAGAATCCCAAGTCGAGGCTGTTTTGCCTAAGCACTTGATTTGTGGCACAGCGATGCGGGTCATTGAAGAAATATCAGGCACATTGCGATCCTCCTTAAGTTCCACTGTCTTAGAAGCTTGGTCTTGCTCAGTGCTTTGCTCGCTTCCTAATACTATTTAGCATAATAGTCTTAAATAGCCGTCGGCCAAGCTTACCTCTGTGATCACTCGCAACGTTCTCCCGCCCTGCAGCCCCAAAACTGGGGTATTCCCGCAACGCGTCAAATGAATGCTTAGTGATTTTCAATGCTTTCTCCGACTGAAAACCGTTGGGACTAGACCGCCCGAACGGCTGAAAGCCTTCTGGGTCCTCACAGACTAGCGACCTGGTTGGCACGCGGACAGACGAGGAATCGAGAGCTACATCATCCTTCACCGGAACGGCCAAGTGTCCAGCCGTCAACGTCCCCCAGAATTCCGGTGTAGCCATAATCTCAGTGTCGGCATCAGAGCCAAGTTGATCTGGCTCATCTTGGCACCAACCCTCGTCAACCTGGATCACGATGGGATTGGAAGCCGAGCCCAACGGAGCAAGATCATCTCCGATCACTATGGGATTGGCGTACGTGCCTAACCCTGGGGCAACCATAGAGTCGCACACGACCACTTCTGGCCATTCACACGGCCAAGTCGGTACTGAAGCTTCGGCACATTAGATTAGTGTAATCAATCAGGCTTATAGACTATCTCTTACTGAATATTTCGTGTTCATTCTCTGTAAAAAAGCTCATATTGTCTGTGACCGGTACTAGAGAATAAATCAAATAGGTAAAGAGTAATGTAGAGAAAACTGAGTACTTGGATCAAATCGAAAGACGAAGTTGGATTCTTGACTGGTCTTTCACTAAGTCGGCGGGCGAAATACATGGCTTTATACCTCTCGTCAGACCAATTCCGCGCCTGATCCAGCCTGCAAGTTGGGCACGCCAGGATCGATTTCAAGCTCAGAGAGCAAAAGCTTCGTCAAGATGGTATCCAGACGAGAACTGTCTACGCCAATCGATTCTGTGGTTGATGCACCATGCAGCGTACTAACGCACGAAGGACTCGCCACCTCATCCAATTGATCCAATAGCCACATTGTATAGCGCTATTGCTATTTCTGGAGAACCACAGATCTGCGCATCAGCTGCGTCCGGCTGTCACCACCAGGTCGATTGGGCTCTGTGTGCCAGTCATTCCATGGCACGAGACCGACGACAAAACGCGCTGGACGCGCCGACACGAAGAAAATAGCTTCATCGTCCGCAGTCCGCATGACGCCGTGCTGCAGGACCAGACCCTTGTTCACCCCATCCGTCCGTCTCATCATCTCCGCCAATCGATCATGATGTCAACGGGTCTTCGGCAACAAGGCACACTCGGTGGCAGGGGCTGGAGTGGACTCCGAATGCGGACGAAGGCAGGAGAAACTGTGTATGTAGACAGAAATTGACGTTTGCTAACGGTCGTATGAGGTCGCCTGATGCGCCTTCAGAGGTCGTTCCGGAGTCTCAACATGGCCGCCGTAAAACCTAGCAATCATCGTGTAGAACAGATTGGCACTGTTATCATCTCGCCAACTCTCGCGGACTTCGCAATCACCGGCTGACCCGTGTAGAGACAGTTTGGACGTTCACGTACGCTGACCAGTTCGATCCCGGTCTTCCTCGGTTCCGAAAGGATACGGACGGTATCAGGGAAGGCTGCCAACACTGTTACCCTCGATTTGCGCCCCCAAGGCAAACTTGAAGCTCCGCTGGACACGGGCGATTTTCCGGAATGAGGGAAGGGCGAATACGCCTGGACTTCGCGGAAGTTGGATGACCGACCGGTCGATTGACATGTCAGGGGCCAGAACTGCAGGTCGGCGCGACGGACCAAAGGCAAAAATGCCTCAACTCGAGCGTAATGGTGAGACCTGAGCGGAAAGTCCACGCCAGGGCGAAGGAAAAAGCACCGCAGACTGCGCTGGAGGACTCAAAGGGCCGCAGAGGACCGGCCGGTCGCGCTGGCAAGATAGGGGGGTAGCGGAGCTCGGTGATCCGGATCAATGGCAAAAATGCCTCACTCGCAAGGCGCACACGAGAAACGGAGGGACAGGAGGAGCAGAAGGGCGAAAAGCAGATCGAAGTTGAAGCGGCGATGATGGGGACTTTATAGAAACACGCACGGCGATAGTAACGCGCAGAGAGGCGCTAAACCCGAACAGGCACGCTAAACCCCTTTGCGTAATTCACCGTCACCGGATTATACGGAGTAGTCAATTCTCACTGAGGGTTCGGCCCAATAGTACGCACGCTCATTGGCCTGTCGTGCGCTCACGCAGTGTGTGTCCGCCGGTCGTGACTCCTATCAATGTCGCAGTTCCCACACCGCCATTATTTCGCTCCCAATACATAAGAATGCAGCCAGTGATGTAGAGATTAGGAAGATACCATCGTCGGCTGGCAGGATACAGGGTGGGACCGTGCTATAACGGTCATCCGTGCGGGTCGTTAGCGCCAGACAACGGAGGTTGATCCGTCAACGCACGCTGGGGTTCGCCGTCCATAGTGAAACGCTTCAGTCTCACCCAAAAGACAGAATCCTCACGGTTATTGACTAAATTTTCGGGGAGCCTGTACGCGCCCGCCCCAACTTCAAAATCGTTGCGATACAATCCAATCATTTCGCGACGTGGCAGGATAGTTAGTTAGCTAACGCACCAATGACTAAGGCTGATCAAAATGGCCATTCAATTGTTCTATACTCCGTACGCAGGGAAACTTCCCTGTTCTAGGCGGTCAATCGAAGCGGGTCAAATATTTGAGGACGGATCCGGGATCGGCGCGTATTTTGAAATAGATACGCGCCAATGTGTCATTCGCCAGGAATGTGTTGCGAACGAACCCCAAGTGATGATTTTAATGCTCTTCAAAGGTCAATATTCACCCTGAAATGTGTAGAATTCCTAAGGAAAGTTTTCAGCTTCGACAAGGAGTCTCCAAACGCACATTTCCTCACCTATCAGCCACTGCGTCTCTAGCTCTCAATAGAACGCCGTGGTTAAAACTCGGACAGGATGCCTGGGTGCTTTTCTTTGCTCATGCAGCGACTCCCGCAAAGGCATAAGCCCTTTGAAAACGCACCCTAAGAAACCGATTCCTCTACCAATGACAAGCCGAGTATATCACCTCGCCACAACGACGATGACGGTTCACTTCCTCCCCCATATCCAGCATATACTCCCGGAATCAAAACACTCTGGAGCCCATCAGAGAGTACATGCGAGTAAGTGCCATCTAGCCATAAAAAGTGATTGTTAACATCTCCCTTCAGCATTCTCTTCCTCCATGGGCCGGTCGCTGATCTTGAAACGACGTGGAAAGCCGCAGGCGCTATCGAGCCTTGGCCTATGACCCTCCTCCCGCCACTGGTTCCCACAGCTCGCGTCCTCACGTTTGCTTACAATGAGTATGAGGCTGACTGGCAGCATGTGATTTTGCAAGAATTTATTCTCGACGGCGCGGGGGATTTGCTGAGTTCTCTTCAACGTACCGAGAGAACAACCGCACAGTAAGCCAGCCAAGTCGATCTATGTGGCCGTTGATTAACATCCCCAGAATGAACGACCGATCGCATTTGTCTGCCATGGTTTAGGCGGGCTTGTTTGCAAAGATGTATGCCAACTCTTTGGTTCTGTGAGCTATACTAATTCCTGTGATAGGTCTTGGTAAACTCGAGCACCCATTCAGAGCCTACTTTCCGCAATGTTTTCCTTTCCACCCGTGGTGTTATTTTTCTTGGCACGCCGTTCAACGGATCAGGTCTCGCTAGTTGGCTTCAGTCCGTATCCGATTCCGTTGGCCTCAACAAGCAGGGGTGCTTTGACAGCATCAACTTTCTCAAAGAGTCTTCCAACCTGATTCTTGACCAGAATCTGCGCCACTTGGACATTATAAAGAAAAAAAGCGTCCAGATGGGATTTTCGCCAATAGAATTCACTTGCTTCAATGAAGGGCTGTCTTTGGATTTTGACTCTGTAAGTCACCAAACGAAGGCCTGCTGCCAATTACTGATGCATAGACAATAGATCGTACCGAAAGAGTCGGCCACTCCGCCTCGTTGCCCTGACGTTGGAATCCACCGCAATCAAGTGGACATGACCAAAATCACCAATGCGGATGACCCCTTGTTTAAGGCCATTGGGGGAAAGCTGCGTCAGTGGATTAGCAACGCAGATGCGAAAATAATTTACCACGGAAGTTCTTCACTTGCAAAGCCTCTCCGCAATGCCCACCAGAAAGGAGACTACAATCGCCAGTATAATCTATTCGGCTAAGGTTGGCAGGAGCCCTATGAAGTAGCTCCGGGGCAAAGGTGTGCACGGATTGGTAGGACCATTGCTTGATATTATAGTACCCGGGGCTGTCCTCTTTGTCCGAAGGAAATTGTATGACGAGGAAAACGCAGAATGCGAACCAGGTGATCGTTTTTAGGCGACCGGCATACCATGGCAACCAGTTACGCGCCCTGAATACTATTATAGGCGACAAATTCAACAAGCTGCAAACCGCGAACGGGTCACAGCAATTGAAGTAGTCTGCGACGGATGTTCGCTACCGTCATGGGTGATATTTAAAGTTGTCAGGAATTCCATTTTCACTAGGGCTTGGTAGATGGGGCACCAAAGTACAATGTGCAGCATACTTCACGCCCATTATTCAAGAATCACGACGATCTGCCCAGTAAAATGGTTATGCACGAGAAAAATTTGAAGTTCTTGGTCTAGGCGAACCATCAAAGAAATCCAGTCCGATCTTAGCTCATGCGGATGAATCGCGCTGCATATCATAGCCCACAAGGCCATTCACTCCTTCCCCACCACTCGTTGTTGTTTCATCATGGATTTGTTGGCTTCTAGCCCAAGCTTGCGAGATATCCCTCAACGTCTGGTCACTGACATGGCCGGCTACCTGCAATTTCCGACCACTGGTGTCTCCCCCGATAATTCCACGAATAGGGTATCCGGTAGTAGAAACGGCAACCCGATATGCGCTATAGTTGGACAAACTTACAATGAGACTAGGCACATCGGGTTTGGTAGGCTTGGCAACCAGTTGAGGCGCTGAACTTGAATCGGTCAACCAAATACCACCGCGGTTGACCAACTCCAATAAGTGTCCACAGTAGTTGATGCAGACAAGGACGCTCATGGTTTCGCGCCGGATTTGATTATAGATGCTCGTTGCGGAATGAGCAGATTTATTGGAAGCCAGTGGACTTTTTTGGGTGATATTTTTTGAAAGATCCTGAAGATCATCCAGCACTGCGTATATAAGTTTGGCGTTAAAATTCGAGGCGATTTCATTTGCCTTGTAGCTAGGTTATCAAGAGAAAAAACATTAGTACAGATACCGGACCTCGTATTGAAGCTTCTGACTCACAAGTTGGCAATCTCGATTGCAATCTTGAAAGTTGACTTGTATCCATTCAGAAGCTGCGTAAAATTGTCGATGGTACCCAGAGTGAAGCGCAAATTGTCCCAATCAAGCCCGGATGTCCTGTTGATGCCGCGGTCGGCCTGCCTAATGGTAAACTCTTGCTGGAAGGTTTCGCAAGCTTTTCCACAGTCATCTAAAGGAAGACTGAGCTGCGATACGTCAATTTTAGTAACCGTGCTAGCTGTCTTGCGCAGGGAGTGGAGAACTTTGTCCAACGATTCAAGCTCATTCCCGAGAGTGCGCACACGGAATGGAGGTTTCGCCATTTCTTTAATAATGTTGTGGAGAGTGGAAGTTTCTTGCAACGCGAAATTGATTGGGCGCATAATGTCAATAGGTGGGCCGGAAGTTTCCATTGTGCGAAAGTTCTATATCGAAGGCGGGGAGAAAATAATATATTCACTTCCAAACTTGATAGATTGAATTGGAGCTTTAAATACGCAGCTTTCCTAAGGAGAGCACGGTGCACTGACCGCCTACTGAGAGTGGTTCGGCGGCTAATGGGGGAAACAGGCCTCATCCCATCCCTGTCCCGACCGCGCTAGTACTATAGCAATACGCACAAGGTCGCCGCGGCGCTAATTGGTTGGATATCGGCATCGTTTCAACTTATGACCCTGCGTCTTATTCTCACACTGACATTTCGAGGTGCGTGATTGGGGAGAGGGTTCAGAGTTGGGGTGATTAATTACGGAGTAGAGCACCATTAATTGGATTGGTAGCGATGCAGTAGACCTCGTTTGATTTCGTCGTGAAAAGTGGAGATGAACATTACAGTGACATGGGATTGGTCCATGTGTCACACAATTTTCCTTACGTTTTGTATGTAATATGTGGGTAACCCTTCGACATCGGTACGGTCACTCGAATACTCAGTTACACCGCCTGGGGACAGCTCAACCTGGCCCCTTTTCCATTCGTTCGAGTCCTTTCCTTTCTTCAATCAATCAATCTTTTCTGTATGATTCCGATAGCTCTCATTCGTCTAAATGCATACTAGTCTATACCGATTCAGCTCGCTTTGACAGATTTTCTAGCAGGGTGAAGGCCCGGCAAATCGAAATCCACAGGATATAATTTAGCGCCGTAAATACATAATGCCGAAAAGGATCCTAGGCCCAGACTAGGGAAGAGGAGAACTTCTCGAGACATGGAGCTTGTGAGAATCGCCACAATTTAAAGAGCCCATGCAGTTTTAAGCCAGGCCTTTGTCCTGAAATGTCAATGTCCACCCAGGACAACAAGACCTCATCCATGCAATAATCATAATGATCGGGGATTCCCGCTGCAGGAACATAGGTATTCAATATCTTACTAAAGGCCGGTCTAGAATTCAGGTTCCCCAGCTACCCCTTACCGCCTAGACAAGGGCTGTAACTAACTATGCGTGGACCCGTTTACCATTTAAAAACATGACGTAATTCCCGCATGACCGGGCCACCCCACCGAAAATCGCGTCTTTCTACCTACATACTCATAGTACCAATTTCAACCACCTACCATGCCACCGATTCGCTCTGAATCCTCGCAGAAATTGGTCAATCAGGAGGGCAAGATGCTATTGGCCTTGAAGATCTTAAAAATGGGCGCGTCAAATCTATTCGCGCAGCAGCTACTCTATACGCAATATCACGTTTACGGGCCAGCAAAGAGATCGATGCAGTTTATGCATTCCAACGAAAGTATCAAAGGAGAAGAGAGGAGAAAAGTGGTCTCCAGCTAGAGTTTCTCTCTGGAACACCTTCCTACCCACTCGAGCGCCCTCATATCCCGCGGCTGTGCCTGGTGAGTACCACTGTCTCACCTTTTGCAGTCGAGCAGAATGATTTGCGCTTTATTGACTGGGCCAGCTCAGGTAGTAGTATTCTGGATTAGGAAGGGCGTACTCTAGGAAGAGCAGCCGTTGTATATAAAACGAGGACTCGCTAAGCTACCTCTTTTGAAGTGGTGCCGAAGAAGTTACTGTTTGAGCCCTTGTCTCTCTTGATGAGAATATCAGGTCTTTTTCGAAACTGAAGAATTCCATGGGAACCTTCAGTGGATATGCCGTATCGTCAGAGCGCGCATACGACAGCATGTTCACCCCAACCCAAATAGGGGAAGGCAGGGCCATTTCGGTGAAGTTACTGGCTAGGCGAGTAATATTAGTAACAAGGTAGGCAAGGCGAAGTTTTAGGCTTGCCTTTCCAGTGCTGGGGAAGTGGAAATCATCAGGAATGAAGCAACACCTTTTCTGGGAGAACGCGTCATTCGCGTTCCAGGACGCACTTTGCTTCTTCGGTGACCACAGGCTCACAACAATAGGATTAGCTCCGATTCGCTAATACTTACGAGTAAAAGTGTGCTATATTTGACCAGGCCACAGCTGTTTACCGGAGGCTTTGCTGTGGGGCGCACAGACGAAAAGGTGGAATGCTAGACCATTCCCATGGGCATAGGACAGCAGAGTCATCATTCAAGGCTCTACTTGACGCTGGCATAGACGTGTCTTTGCCCTAGCGTCAAATACAACGATAAATGATATTCTCCGGGCATATGCAGGTACCATTCATGCTTAAAGAGGCTTCTCAGGGTGATGACAATTTTTTACACGTGAATTATGAGGTTCAGATGGCCCTATGCAAGCTTTGAAACCCACGAAAATTCAGCATTCATCGCGCCGCTTTGGCTGATACATTTCGATGGAATTACGCATTGATAATTTAAAGTGACCCAATTCACAAGTTTCAGTTATCCCATATGTCTGCAACTCCACCCACTTAGTGCGAATTTCCGTTCCGTGTTTTGAGTCTTGCCGAGCGTCGTGGCAGTTTTTGGACATCTGAGCGTTTAGTTCTCGGAGAAGCCTTCTATGAAGAAAGTGTTTTAGCGGTAGAGCTCACTATGTACCTGAGCGATAAGTATGAGTAAATTGAGCTTACCTTAATCTTGTTACGAGATTGTTGAATGCGAGGCGGCTGTTTGAGAGCCAGAAAGCCTGGTCTTTTGGCCTTTGGAAGGGTGGAAAAGTCGGGGACCTTGGCTTGTAGCCTTATTGTTAGCCGTCGATTGCTTCGCATAGTGGAGTACATACTGGTATCAGCCCCAGGAGAAATCTGACAAAGTTGACTCCGCGAAACCCAAACGAAAACATGGAGGCTATCTTTCTCTATCTCATCACCCACAACACCCGGCATGATCTTTGCAACTGGTAGGCGAACGTCCTCCAGCTCATACTTTACAGCGAGCCCCTCGGTGCACCAGTTTTTTATGTCCTGATCAACCCGAAATTCCGCCCCTGGATTGCGGCAGAGGTGTCCGGAATATCTTCCGCGGTAATCCTTGGTGACAGACGCTTGCGCTTCAATTAGGTATTCTCCCGCGTCTCCTCTATAGCAAACGACTTTTAATATCGTCGTCAGTGTAGCCAAAAACGGCGCTCTCTCTGCGATCTCCTGAAACTAATATCGATGTTTGTTAATAACAGGACTTGAAAATACCAAAGGGCCGACGCAGAACTGACCGAAAAATTAAAACTTTCCATGGTTCTTTTCGGAGAGGGTAGGTTTAGGCACTGGTTTGGTAGAATGGGAAATATGTTTGACATGACCTGACCATTTCGTTTTTATAATCCCAAGCGATCTTACATAATCCGGAAATATCACCTGCATCTATAGCGTTGGGGCTGTGCTGGCCCCTGAACCCGGATAAAATGTTAAACCCATGTCTGATAGGATGCGACTACAAGGGCGCTCTATTAATGCGCAAAATGATAGGGGCGGGAGTCTATTTGTGAAAGCATTCTCCAGGGTACCTTTAATTTACTTAGAATCTACCATAGTAAGTTTTGATAGAGTTTTCGAACAAGGACGATAGAGTTGTGATTGGAGACCGGTCCATGTCTATCGTGTTGCCTAAGGGGACAGTCATGCCGGATCCCATACCTCTCTATTGGAAACGCGGCATCACTTTGATCGCAAAATTCGCACAACCGCAACCAGTAGAAGCAACAATGGAGACTATCAAGACCATGAGGAGCACGACTTTTGCCTACCTGCAATCCCTGAGTTCGCGTGTACAAGCCCCGTCGCGCGATTTCGTGGTGCTTTGCGTGCCCATTACCCCCCTGGCGCAACTGGAAGAGTGGATACACAGATATGGGGGAACTGAAAATGCCGTCGATCTCCACTCGCGGGAGACAATCTCCGCAGAGGGCATCATTCGAGACACAGAAAATTACGGCGAACTGTGCTTGTTCAGAAGGTGGATCTGTGAGGAAGACAACCGGATCTATTTGGAATGCCAATCGCTTCCCCGTAGGCGAAATTTTCTGCAGATTGGCAATTTGCGGACTGCACTGCCGAAGATACGGGTCGTCCCGGCATCAGGTTGCACTGTTGATAAGCTCCCTGCGGCGAAAGCCATGGCCGGACGTTTGATTCCTGCTCAGCTCAACCGATTTGAAGCAACAATCGTCGCAAACCAATTGAATGACACTATCCTCAAAGGCGTCGGGATCCAAGACCTCAGCCACATCATCACGGCAAACACTGCGCCGAGTGGGTTGACGACGTGGCGATCGGCGCGGAATCAGACACATACTACGACAACATCAAGCTGCTAGAGAAGGTGCTAGGAAGGGCAGAGCAGTGGGCCAAACGACACGCAGCAAGGTTCGCACCCGATAAATTCGAACTGATTCACTTCACCAACGCAATTGAGAACGACATAATCCAAGAACCGACTGCAACCAATATTGGATCCGATATCTTCGACTTCATAACACAGCACCCCGAGGGCAACGACCAGATGCCCGTTCAGTACAACGACTTATCAATACAACCAACACGATCTGCTAAATACCTAGGTGTCTGGCTCGACAAACACCTCGATTTCAACACACACCGTCAAAAGCTACTGGCCAAGGCCAACGGCAGCCTCGAGGCCCTCCAGGCGATGACAGGATCGGTGTGGGGAGCCTCACTGGCGGCAATGCGAAAGGTCTACCAGGCAGTGGTGGTGCCACAGATGTTCTACGGGATATCTGCGTGGTATTGCCCTGCAGCTAGATCTATACCCGCTTGGGAGATGAAACGCATTGTCAATGAGTTTACCAAGGTTCAACGGCGTGCAGCGATTCTTATCAGTGGTGCCTTCAAATCTACCAGTGCGGCAGCTCTCAACGTCGAGCTGTTTATAACACCAGTTCACCTACTCATGGACCAGCTCATCCAGGAATCGGCAATACGAATCCAAACAGGGGCCGTGTGGGCGCGGCCAGGGTGCCTACATCGACAACGATCCCCACAGGAGATTAAGGAAGGGGGATGGAGCCCTCTCGAAGCCCTCAGATGGAAGAAGGGGGGTATCCTGAACCAACAAGGGATATGGGAATCTCGCAAAGCGTTCGTTCTAGCGCCATGGGAGGCACGGATCAAATGCATCATTGATCAAGATGCAGAGGCGGCGCGAGCCTCGCATGATAAGATTGAGATGGAGTGTCTGTTCCAACAGGCCCTCTCAGACTGCACCCCGACAGTCATACAGGATCGCCCCCGAACGATTCTGTTCTTCACAGATGGAAGTGGATATGAAGGCCAGGTCGGCGCTTCAGCCGTTGCCCCGCGTGTGGGCGTTTTTCAACGGCGATATCTCGGAACCACCGACGAATCAACAGTGTACGTTGCCGAGCTCAACGGCATTGAAATGGCGATTGCCAGGGTCGTCAACCAACAACACAACAGGCTCTCAAGGCTTGTCATTTTCTCCGACTGCCAGGCCGCCATCCAGGCGGTGCAAAGACCCACGCGATCGTCGGGCCAATAGGTGCTGAGTACCATCTACAATCACGTACGGACCCTTCGATCGCCACAACTACAGCAAACGCCCACGTTCGATCAGATTCCCATCGAGATCCGTCGGATCCCCGCACACGTGGGCGTTTCTGGCAATGAAACCGCTGATGTTGAAGCAAAGTTAGCAGCAACGGAGGGGAAGAGGGGCGGATCGGATCAACCTCCCGCCGGTGATTCGGCAGCCAATCAGATCCAGTCCCCCGGCGATCGCGTCCTTCTAGCATCGATCGCAAAGCGTCGAGTGCGGCGGCGCATCAAAGAGAGATGGGCACAAGAGTGGGCGAGGGAAACAACTGGCCAGCCGAACCAGCGATTGGTAAAGGCACCAGACAAGAAGGTGCTTCGGCTGTTCGAATCCCTTTCGAAGCCGTACACCTCGATCTTGATTCAAATGCGCTCCATGCGGATCGCACTGAATCACTTCTTGTACAGAATCAAGGCGGTTGAATCAGATCAGTGTTACTGCAGCGAGGGGTCTCAAACACCGAGACATATCCTCATGCAGTGCCCGTTGTACGCTGACCTGAGGAAAACCTTCCTTGACAAGATCCGGATGACCGATCTTGGGGACTCGACGGACTATGATGCGATTGTATCGCACTCGCAGGCCACCCGCTACGTGGCTGAATTCATGCTACAAACAGGCCTCCTGGGACAGTTCCGGCACGTCGAAATCGAGCCAGAGCCGCCGAATGGGGGCGATGAAAACGATCCGCCAGGATGATCTGGCAACGGCACAGGGGGTGAAGACGCTGGGTAGGAGGAACGCCAAACCCACGGCCTACCGAGAGGCCGTGGACGACTACATCCAACGCGTCGACCCGACAACGAACGCCACGAATCGAGAACGAAGCAGGAGGATGTGGATACCAGAGAGAGAAGGCAGAGATGGAGATACAGGGGAAGCAGCAGGCCAATGTGAGGGCAAGATGAGGGATATATCGTGGGATTGAGGGCAATGAGGGCGTTTTGGTACTGTTTTTGGGCTGATTTTATATGGCAATACGCCGTTTTCCTATGTATCTACTGTTTCATCCGTGTGGGCTGGCGTTCGGATCACTCTTGCTTCCGCCGGAGGAAGCGCCTGCATAGCCATTACGCCACTAGTTAGGCTGCAACAGGTTAATAGAGCGTTGATTGATTGATTGATTGATGGTCGACCAGGTCAACCCACCCGCGCTATTGCAGCAAGTTAATGGATGGTATAGTATGGTATGCGATGAACTGAACTAGAATATTCTACTAAGGAAACCAGTCCCAGGATGTGAGGCTGAGGATCTGAAGCTGGTTACAGATTCTAGAGAATAAACGAACGGGTGAGGGGAGAAATGCTGTGTGATGCTTTGGTATAGGAAAAGGGCGGCCGAGAGTCGATTCCTGTGTCATGAGAAATGACTAGTCTCCACGCGGACACGTCCAGAAAGCGAATCGCTTTAGGCTAACAGTGACCTATTTATGAGATCCAGTCAGCAGTCCCATAGGCAGCTTTCCAATATATTAATTCATCATCGCCATCTAGTCCATCAGCTTGGAAAAATCTACCTGGATCTCTGACCACGGCACCTGACCAGCCCATGCGATCTGCAATCTTAACAGACGTATTCAAACCTGCCGACCTTGCATAAATAGTCGTCTGCGCGACTCTTCCACAGCCTAATCGTTTCCTCTTTTTCATCCAACCTTTGTAGTTGCAATTTTAACCGTTGCTGAAACCCCGAAAAGTCCTGAAGCAGTTGCGGAAGTATTTCATTAATTGTTCTCTTTGACGAGACACGGAGACTATATAGACAAGATGAAGACCAAATAGATTTCCAATCAATTTGCTTCTTCATATAGATAATGCAGGAATTATTTCCGAAGTAGCGGCAAGACTAGAATATTGGAAATTGTGAATGAAATGGACTTCGCAGGGTGCTATCATTCCTAATATGGAGTCCACAAGAACCCAAAATTTGATCCTCGTGCCTGTCCAAACAGGGGCATCATATGTCGTGGGCGAAGATCTTGAAGTAACACTCCATCTTCAAATTCTTTCCGGGTATATATATCATCCAAGGCCCGAGGTGACACATTAATGGCGCCCTCATTTGGAAATTTCGTGGGATCTCGGCCAAGATATAACATGATTCCTGGGCTCGGAAGATTGACAAGAGAGAGCTGACCCACATCAGAATAGGACGGGAGCGTGCCCTGGAAGGGGAAATAGTCGATGATTTGAGAAAAACAAATCCATGATACTTCATCAGGATTCTTATCATGCACTTGGCAAATTCTATCGATGATCGTCGGAAAGCCCGTGTCCGGATCCTTCCGGAGGGATAGCTCGGCGAATATTATTTGACCATGAATTGAAAATACCTGGTCGAATTCCAGGTGTCTTGTAATTTCGGGATAATAATCAGATTCATCAGGACTTAAGCCGTGGGCTTTGAGAAACCCGTTGTAATTCACCCAATTCTGACCGGTCTTGGCATCCATACTGATTTCTCTTTTGATGAAGTAGATCGTGTTCTCAAATACCTCACATGCGCTGTTGACTCCAAGGTCTATATCGCATAATTCGAATTTGAAACTCTGTGTTGACTGATAGCTGTCATCATCGCGTTCAATCCTAGAAATTCGAAGATTTGTGCCCGGGAAGTCATCAGAATATAGGTGGAAGAGCCAGATGGTATTATTGCGAATGATG